TCGAGAGGTGAATGACTCGCAACTGTAAGGGAAGCTGTTATGTCTCTGAGTTGTACAGTTGCCCTTTTCTCCTAACCCACTCTTCATAAGCCTTGACAACTCAGCTGGATTGCAGAGTGTTATGTTCCTTAGTAGAAACCACATAGAGAATTTATTAAGTCAGGCACATACTGGCAAGTTATGTACAGGCCAATACTGTATCAGGTATCACGTGTTGCTGAAATGATATGATAGAAAGATATGAAGCTGCTTTCTACCGCTCTGTAATAAAAAGGGCAATATCTGTATTTCTTTAACATAGTTCAGGATGCATCATGTCATCAGTGTTTGCAGGATACTGGGGGCAAGCAACAAAGGTGCTAGAAGTAGTCATGCTCTACATGCAACCTTCTCAAGGCAATCTAGCATGTTCACCACTGGGCACAGGGCAGTGGGGTAGAGGGGGGTCTTTAGTCTAATCCTGTACAATAGTTCTTATGTCCCATGTGATTATGTATATGTGGATGCTTTAAAATGTGTATGTATGAACAGAGATGTTGCCCAGATGTATGTATGGCACTTGTATCCAGCTCTTCTCCCCACAAGCTTGGCGAAGTTTATCTACTGCTCCCAAATATTCCTCCATTGAGACAGCTTCATGGTCAAGCTTACTTTAGCTTTAGAAAAAAGGCTGCATCATGGGCATGTGAACCATTCCTGTATCCTGCTACATTTGGCTTTGGCTGCATCTTGGTGGCACTTTCTGTGGTCGCAAAGACATGAATACATCTCATCTGGGCAGGGATTAGTCTCTCTCCACCACCGACCATGAAACTCTGTGCTGCAAACCTTCCTGAAAACTCTCTCTCTCTCTCTCTCTCTCTCTCACACACACACACACACACACACGCACACGGCAGGCAGTCTTCACTCTTGTATTATTTATAGGCAAAGTGGCCTCACCTGTTTTCATATACCCTGGACCAGGGATGGCCCTCCGGGTGTTCTCAGACTCCAATTCCCATCAGCCCCAGCCAAGATATTCAATGGTCAGGAATGATGGGAGCTGGTGTCCAGCAACATCTGAAGGGCTGCATATGTTTTTTTGCTGCCTAGACTTGAACTGCTCTGGAGTCCCTCCCCATTCTTACCACTGGTGATTTGCTCTATGGAGCCACTTGTCTGAGCTTTCTGTTTGGAAATCTCATACAGTGAAGCAGTATTCTGAAGGTGTCATTCACCCCAGCTCTCTCTTCTTGTCGCATCTGCCCCCACACATGAAATGTGTGTGTGTGTGTGTGTGTGTATTAAAGATGTATATATGCACGTCTAACCAAGCAAGTGGATTTTTGCCTGAGTTTGCTCTGTCTTGTCTGCTAGTGCCATCTATTTATATCTCAGACTGTCTCCTCCTCCCTCCCTTTTCTTTTCCCACTCCTCCCCAACCATTCCCCTGTTAGAAATCCAGCACATTAAAAAAAGATACTGTGATGCAGCGATCTTCGCTGACTGTTATCTCCTGGTTGAGCTGGTGGGCTGGGAGAACTGCCTTCTGCTGGGATTTTTGTTCTGTGAGCCAGATTTAACCCTGCAGCTTGAAAGATGGTACTGATAAACTGTTGTTGTTCACCTGCAAATGATTCAAGGCTCAGTGGAAACCAGAGAACAGAGGTCTGTAGAGACAGTGGAGGGGAAAGGGAACCTGTGACTCTCCTGATGTTGTTGGACTCCATCTCCCATCAGCCCCAGTCAGCATGGCCAATGACCAGAGATAATGGGAACTAGAGTCCAACAGTATCTGGACTTCAGACCCAGAACTGCTGCAAATAAATACAGCTGCAAATAAAACGTTTTGTGTGTTTTAAGTGCGATATACAATGTGACACTTGATGGTGATGGTGAGCCTTCAATGTATTTTTTAAAATGCTATTTAAAAAGCATTTTCAGAACGTTTTTTAATATGTGTGCAGATTCCACCTCTGTATGTGATATCCTCAGGCATCTGTGCTCACTGCTAATGGCTCCTCTGGGCCCTCCAATCAGCACTGGGTGGCTGGATGTGGAGAACGGCCATTTTAATTCCCCACAGTGCCTTGTCACAGCTTCTTTCCAGGGGCATTGTGAGAAATCATTGCCACCCTTTTAATCAGGGTGCTGCTTCTAACCCCCATCCCAATCCACCATCGCTGCTAGATAACTTTGCCAAACCCCCTGCCCCCAAAACTGGGACCAGCACTGCTTAATTTAAGAATGCTGGATAATCCTAGTATTCTGCTTCAAAGTGAGACCTGGAAAAACTTGTTTAGCTGGCCCTGCTCAAGTCACACCAGATATTTGGGGGGGGAATTGCGAGCTTCTTGTTGAAACACTGGGTTTCAATGCCGAGAACTCATAAGCGTATTTTATTTTTGGCGAGCAGCAATAACATGGTATATGTAAGTGACTGCACTTTGTGACCAAGCTCTTTTGGCACTGTTTTTGACATTTTAATTTTTGTGCTGTACGATGGGTGCAAAAGAACATGTGGTCACAAGAAGGTAAATGGTGAAGGATCTCTGGAGATTTTAATCCAGTCAAAGGTGACTATGGGGTTGTGGTGCTCATCTCCCTTTCAGGCCGAGGGAGCCGACATTTGTCCACAGACAGCTTTCTGGATCATGTAGCCAGCATGGCTAAACTGCTTCTGGTGCAACGGAACACCATGATGGAAACTAGAGTGCATGGAAGTGCTGTTTACCTTCCTGCCACAGCAGTACCTATTTATCTACTTGCACTGGCATGCTTTCAAACTGCTAGGTTGGCAGGAGCTGGAACAGAACAACAGGAGCTCATCCCGTCGTGGGGATTCAAACCGCCGACCTTCTCATCAGCAAGCCCAAGAGGCTCAGTGGTTTAGACCACAGTGTCACCTGCGTCCACAAGAGCAGCCCTGCTGGATGAGGCCAATGACTCATCTAGTCCAGCATCCAGCCAACCTGATGCCCACGGGAACCATGCAAGCAGGTCTTGAGTTGCATCAGAAGTCTCCCCGCTTATAACTCCCAGTAATTCTGCATCTTTAAACCAATATCTCACTGTTTCCACAAAGCCCTCTTGGACCCAAATTGGAGGACCCAAATTGTTTTGTTACAGTTTCCCTGTAAACCTTTGCTTGCTCAGGGAACTTGAAAACAAGTTAAGTCCACTCCATTATATGCATCTGCTCATATAATAAATCAAGCTGGTGCTCTTAAGTGCAGTGAGAAACATTACCTCCAACAACACCCATCCTCTTCTCGGGGTCTTATCCTTTTCACATGGAGCAGGAGCATTGGGAAACCCTATCAGGATTCTGTGGGGGAGAAGGCCCATAGTGTGCTTTGTTTTTTCTCTGAACAAGATGAGATCTTTCCTAGCAGAATTTCAAGAGGGACTTCGAAGGCTGTACAGTGGTACCTTGGGTTAAGAACTTCATTCGTTCCGGAGGTCCGTTCTTAACCTGAAACTGTTCTTAACCTGAGGTACCACTTTAGCTAATGGGGCCTCCTGCTTCCACCGTGCCACCGCTGTGCGATTTCTGTTCTCATCCTGAAGCCAAGTTCTTAACCTGAGGTACTATTTCTGGGTTAGCGGAGTCTGTAACCTGAAGCATCTGTAACCTGAGGTACCACTGTATTCTGCCCCTGGAGCAGAGGTTTCCCATCCTTGCTTTTGCACATGGCTTGTTGCAGCTATTTTCTGTGCAAAAAGAGAATATAAGCCTGCAGTGTTAGTAGCTATCGGTTGCTATGCTTGGCAGTAAGAAGTCTGAATGCAAAGCAGGGTAGATAAACCACATATCAGTTGATGCTTATTACTATCAGTCATGGGTAATGCTGGGGTTATTCTGTCATTCCTCAGGAGCACACAAAAATGGTGAGTAATATAATCTTGAGTTTCCTGAACATCTCAACTTCTCTTTTTTTAAAGAGCAGGTTGCTAGTGCTCATGGCTGTGTGGGCATTGGCAATATCTTCTGAAATCTCAGAAGCTGGGACAGAAGTGGTAGAGAGGATTTTGAGTGTCTGGAAATGGGGCTTCAGGGCCTTGCATAGCCCCTTGCCCTTTCAGAGACTCCGAAAGCAAGAATAAATGGTGCAAAACAAGAGACATGTTGGAAACCTTTTCACCATGCAGCTTATGGAACTCTGCCTGTCTTGGTGCAATTTTCATTTTTTAAAGCAACACCCCTGGCGAAAGGGCAGAATCATGTCAGAATACTGCATCATACCTTGCAAACGTGTTTCTTTTTTGAGCATACACTACTGAATGAGAAATGTTTCAGAGGAGAGGAAAAGAAGGCCCGGCTGGTAAGTGTTTCGATGTTAAGTGGAAAATCCCACTTTTGTATGCGATAACAACCCACAATTGTGTGCCAGCCCCTTAATCACTAGCTGCCTTTGTGATGTTTCGTGATGACAGTGATCATTCGCCATTCATTCCGAAAACCTTCCCCAGCCCTTTATGCAATTCAAAAACTAAAGGTACACTTTAGTATAAATCACAGGACATGCCAATAATGATATTCACTTCATTTGAAAGTGTCGATGCTAAGATAGCCTAGAGCTGTAGCCGCTGAAGACAGTTTTATGGCACAGCTAACGCTTTTGCTTTGAGAATTCAGCCCTATTTCTTTCTCACACTTCCCAGAGCCTGATCATTATTACAAGAAGAGAGATGCCTGTCTAATCTCTCCTCCTTAAAAAGTCATGCTTGAAAAAAGCAGTATAGGATCCCACTATAAGCAACCACCACCACCAAAGAAAACACACCCACTCTTCTGCCATCTCTATGGGATACACGTGTCACAAAAGGGTCCCGTGCAGGACATTGGAGCTTCTGGCATAGATTGAATGCATGTGTGTTGGGAGACTGCAGTGGTAGCACACAGTGAGGCTTGCCCATATCATCCCCTCCACACCTTATTTTAATGTGTGAGCCCTCCTCCTGGCTCAGACCACTGCTTCATTTAGCTCATTCCTGCCCAGAGTGACAGGCAGCAGCTATAGCTCAGTTGGTAGAGCATGAGACTCAATCTCAGGGTTTGGGGTTCGAGCCCCAAGTTGGGGGGGGGATTCCTGTATTTCAGGGGGTTGGACCTCAGGGTCCCTTCCAACGCTACAATTCTGTGGCTGAGTTTCAGGTGGGTCTTTCACAGCATTTGCTGGCGATACCAGAGATTGCATCTGGGTTCCCCTCGACCCAAAGCATGTGAAATAGTAATCACTATTGTTCCAATTTTATTGTGTGTAATCAAGACTACTGAATTGATAGGAGATTAAACATCACAGCAGGTAAATGGCCCCATGGAATCAGTGGAAAGGGGGACTTCCATTGTGTTATAGGATTCAACTGTAGGTTTGACCAGTTTACCAGACTTTCTGTACACCATCACTATAGGACAAGAAGCATTTACTTGGTATTTGCTAGGGTTTTTTTCAGACTATAAGAGTTGTTCTGTCTGTCAGGGGAGGGGAAGGTGTTTTATTATTATTATTAGGAATTACCCATATAACAAGGCCTGAAAGTGGTTCTCTCTGCCAGTTCCATTTCAGATAAAATAGATAGAAGGCAGAGAACAAAGACCTTTCAAGTGAAATTTGAGAAAGAAAGCAATATTGAGGTCCTTTCCTGCATAGTGCAATGAACTGTTGGGAAACTTAGTGGTGAGATGATTTTAGAGGTACCCCCGTCCCAAGCTGTATGGGAGCAGCACCTTGAACTTATCCCAGTGGCCCCACGACTGTGGGTGGCCAGGGCCCATGGGTGTCATGCAGTTTGCCTGGCCCTGGAGCTGAAATCTGTGGGTGCCCAACCCCTTCATGGGGAATTTTGTGGGTGCTCAGGCACCAGAGAGCTAGCACCTTTGTTCCAGTATCCAGTTGGTGTGCCTTGTATTATTTTGGTGATTGCCTGGTTAGATAGATAGATAGATAGATAGATAGATAGATAGATAGATGAAAAAGAGAAAACTGAACTTCCCATTTGCAGCAAGAACCCATGACCCTCCCATAGAATTTTGTTTAAGTGCTGCAAGAGAATCTTGTGAACCTAAACATCAAGCAGCCAAGTGGTGTGGAAAACTTGGGAAACTCATGGCATTTGGGAGACGCCATGTTACAGTCTCATGCTTCAGTAAAGTAAGAGCTTATACCATTTAGCTGCTGGTTAAAAACCTTCCCCTTGAAGCTTTTGGTGAGGAGCTCTACAGTTATTTGGTTAAAAAAACAATATTCTCCATCCTTCAAATCAGCTGTCAGACATAGCTTCCAGCTGGAGTGCATTCATATGTGATAAAATTAGAATGATGAAAAGAAAAGACATCCAACACAAATAGGCTTTGATTTTAAAAATCATACTTGGCAGTGCTGTACGATGCTGCAACTGTGTTTCTGGGGTGCGATAGCCATACTCCAAGCAGTTCTCTTGTCAAAGCAGAATTCTTTGCTAAATGCGGACTCTTGCGAAGAGCCTTTTATGTGGGAAGAGAAAAGTGCCAAGGGACATACATTACAAGCTGCATCTCCTGAAATGCCCTCCTCTTCACACCTATTAGAGTCCTGTTGTCCTCTTCAGCATCTGTTGTCCTCTTCAGCCATCCTGCACATGACTCCTCCCAGTCATCATGATGATCTTAAGTAAAACAAAACACCAACACAAAACAGAATTTAAAGGCCCAAGCAGGCTTCACTTGAGGTGTTCCAACACCATATGCCCACTGACCAACGGGTGTTATGGTTGGGTCTCTCCCACAGAAGCAAGACAACACTGGCAGCAATTAACTCAGGTTTTATTGCTCCAAACACGCAAATCACTCTGGAGCTCAGTCACTCAGCGTCAGCTTCCAAGTTTGCTGTTGCCAAATCTGAGGTAGGCCCTTCCACTTTTAAAGCCCCACTTACGCTTCCTTTCCTGTTCATGCCTTTCATTAATCTTTGTGAGCCTATGCACCTTGGGATGGGCAATTCCCAGTAGCTCTCCCTCTGAGTCTGAGCTACAGCTGTCAGTCTGCATCTTCTCCCTTGAACTCCCCCCTCCCTTCTCCTTGTTCTTGGCACTCAGGCTTCTACTGCAAATTGGCTGCTCCTCACCCCTTCCGCATTCCTGCCTAATTACCTCCACCTGTCTCTCCACACTCTCCCCCTCTGTCAGCAATGGAACGCAGCTGACAACGGGTTGCTTTGCTGAGTCAAGGATGATCCTCATAATCAGCAGTGCTTTGTTCAGGCATTCTATGGATCATCCATAGGTGTCCTGTGAACTTGGCTGCACATATGTGTCACTGTTTCTGTGCAGTGAAGTGTGAGATAGCATACATATGGACCCATGTGGGGTCTACTTAAGCCCCTGGACTGGAGTTTCTCCAAACTTGCTTTGGACCAAATGATGCCAGAAAGGCCTTCTAGTTCAAGTCATGTTGACCTGCATTCACACCACTCTTCAGCTAAAGTCCTCCTGCTACACCCAATTGAACTAAATTCCTCTTGATTAATTCAGGTTAGGGTTAGGGTGACACTGGAAATAGAATCACATGGATTTTTGTTACGCTGTTGCCAGTTCTACTATCCACCAGCTGGTCCAGCATGATAGTCTTATCTTTTATGCTTTCCAAATTAAGTTCCAGCTTTGGTAATCTCATGAGAAATGCCTTATCAGTTTCCTGCCTTCAACGGTCAGGATTCAGCTCCCCACCAGCAACACCACATGCACAAAAAAAGCACTTCTGCATGTGCATATGTAGCAATATAGATGTGGCTCTATAGGTTACTTCAATCTTCATGAGCAGCTTCTCAGGCTCATGAAGGGCTGTAGTGGGGGACTGGTAAAGTTCTGATATGTGCCTGCTTTTTCTGTGGAGCATTATTAGATCCTAGCTCGAGTAAGTTTTCTTACACGAATACTGCAGAAAAATATTTATACTCTAGCTACTGCCATCCTACTTGTTTCATTCTTGTTTGTTTGCTTTCGGATGCTTCCGATGTTCTGCACTTAAGCAGGAAGAGCCAGCTGCACAAATATATGGTGGGGTGACACCTGTCTTGCCAGGAGCACATGTGAAAAGGATCTAGAGGGTCATAGTAGGCCACAAGCTTGGCATGAGTCAACAGTGTGATGCATCAGAAAAAAACCCTAATGTTATTCTAGGCTGCATCAACAGAAGTATAGTGTCCTGATCAAGAGAAATAATAGTCCCACTCTATTCAGTCTTGGTTAGGCCACATCTGGAGTACTGTGTACAATTTAAGAAGAATATGGAGATGGACAAGCTGGAACATGTGCATAGGAGGGCGAAGGGTCTGGGAACCAAGTCTTATGAGGAATGTTTGAAGGAGTTGGGTATGTTTAGTCTGGGAAAGAGAAGACTGAGAGGAGATGGGATAGCCATCTTCAAATATCTTAAGGGCTGTCACATGGAAGATGGAACAAGCTTCTTTTGTCCAGCCCTGGAGGGTAGGACACGAACCAATGGCTTCAAGTTACAAGAAAGCAGATTAGCAACTGAGACAATGGCGGTCTGGTAGACTTCTGGTATTGGGAATGGTGGCAGGGCGCTCTCTTGTCTTTTGCCTCAGGCAGTGAAAGGTCTTGGGCCAGCTTGATAGGAATGGATAATGTCCCCCACCAGGTCTTCACCCTTTCGGGGGGGGGGGTTCACTCAGCCATCCCAGTGCACCCTTTAATGTATTTTGAAATTATTTCTGCATCCCCGGCTTTCCAAAGTGAAACTCTTAGAATTCTAAGTCACAGCATACACTTCGTCATTCCTAGATGCTTTAAATAAATAGCATGAATTTGCACCACAATGGAGGTGTGGTACTGTGTTTAATGAGGGACCTCAGGGAGGGACCTTTAACATCAATGAAATAAATATGCTGTCTTTCCAAACACATCCATGTTATGCAATAGACTCTTTTTCTATATACAACAAGAACACACACAAGGCAAGCAGATGGTCAAACCGCACTGCATTTCCTACATTATGAAAAGATGTAAAATGAAAGGTGTAAATATAACTCTACTGGAGGATGTAATCTGATCTCTCATAAATATATGCACCAATTATGCACCTACCTCTTAAAATATTTTGTGCGTAGAATTGCAAGGTGCTATTAATATAGGCATCGATGACACTGCCTTATATAATAAGTAGAACATAATTAATAGAATATTCTAGTTCTACAAATCTAGTGCATTATACTTCACTCCATCCAAATGTGATAGGGTTTGAGGGGTTGGTTCTTTTTTTTCTTTTTTCTTTTTTCCGCTCACTGCAATAATCAATCTTGCTCTGTGCTAGGTAGGAGCTTGCTATTTCTAACATTTTATTTTTAACAGCGTGTTTCATAATAGATTACATTCAGTTCCATTTGTAAGCTTCCAAGGGACCAGAATAACTAGTGGAGACGGACAGCTTCGTGCTAGGGGGCTGGGGGAGAAACATTTCTTTACCACCCAGAGTAATTTTACAGTATTTCAGAAATGTGATGGGTAGCTGCAGAAATACATAAAATGACCCATAAAATCCAGGTGCATACAATTTGAATTATTGTGTGGCTTTTAAAAAGTTAAAACCATCCTTCCATGGGAATTGAAAGGGAGGCAGAGAATGAAGAGCAAAAATGGGGAAATTGGGGGCAAAGGAAAGGATAATGAATCAAGAAAGGCAGATGAAAGAGAAAACCAAACGTCTGTCTTCAGCTTCCCTCCAGAGTAGCACAGAAATGAGAGTGAACTAGGATAAGTGTGGAAGTGTTTGAGAGGAAAGATGAACCAGAAGTATGTTAATGGACAAAAGGAGGGCCATATCACTTAGCTTAAATGGGAGAGAGACTCCCTTGTGCGTCTCAGAACCCATCCAAAGATGTCTCTCTGACTACCAATAAAACCACTTCTTTGCCTGTTGACTGCTGGTTGTGTTTGGTTCAGAAGTTCTGCTGTTGTTACTGGATCTGCTATTCAGCCTTTCAGTTAGCAAGGAGACTTTGCTCTTCTGCTCAAGTAGGACTGTACACTTTGCAACTAGTAAAAAGGCTCTGGAGAAGATGCTGATCTGGTGAGATTGCCACAAATGCAACAGGGATCTAGTGCATACAGAGTAAATTTGGCTGATTCGATGGAGTTACATTCACTGCCACAGGGATGCCCGAGGTTTTCACCTGGGCTGCATTTTTTCAGCAAACTGACCTGATTCCCACTTAGTTTTTGCACTTCTGTTGTGATGGTTCTTGGCACACAGACAAATACCAAAATGCATAAAAATGTATATCTTAGGGTAAAATAAGATTTATGAAAAGCATATTTTATGGGAGGGAATGTTTCCTCCTTGATATCCTGTTTGTTTGTTTGTTTGTTTGTTTGTTTGTTTGTTTGTTTTTAATGTGCATTTTTGTTTGAGTTTTGTTTTTAAAAAGTCTTCAAATTGACATGGTAACAGGGCAGATGCAATGGACCTATGGATGAACACATGAAAAACTGACATGCAGTGGAAATTGACTGATCCATTAATCTCCATTCACTTCCTATGTGTTTTCCTGGGACCAAGAAATAGCCAGCCTCAATAAAGCAGAGCCCATAGTGAGAATGAAAGCAGTTCGGCAAGTCTGGGGCAGGAAGAGAGGGAAGGAAGACACAGGCAGATGGAGTCCAATGAAAAATCAAGGTCCCAATAATGATGCAGGTTAGGGTTAAGGTTAGAGCCTTGGCTTCCAGCATCAGAGATGGATCGTTCATGCTTTTCCATGGCAAATGTCTCATAACATTGAAATGTTAGCATAAGAAAATCCACTTTGCGTGTGTAGGTCCCCAGGCCACCCCTCAAATAACTTCACACATAACACATAATTTTAGTTTTGGTTTTGGGGCACTATTTTGGCCACAACTTTATTAAAATACAAAATCAGTGAGTGGTTGTTTAGACATTGGTTATGACTATCTGTCCCCCCCGCCTGGGACAGAACTGACATCCCGAGGTCCGATCAGTAGCCAGTAGAAGGGAAAGTCAAACTTGGGGGTCATTTGAACTAAGTGTCGGACCCATGCCGCTCACCCCAGCAGCTCCCCGAAAGCTTGCCGGCCCTGCTCCCATGACAGGGATTCCCATGACAGGGATTGGGCGGCCCTGGTCCCATGACAGGGATTGGACGAAATCGTGGCAAGCCCCAGGATTCCTTTAACGGAATTCCCTTCAGCGCAATAGGAGGGGCAGGCACAGCCTATCCTGACCCCTCCACCACCAGCATATTATAACCAATGCCTAACCGCAACCTTACAAGTTGTGACAAATTGCTGAGTAGTAGGCAAAAACCAAATGGCACAGCCAATCACCAAATGGCAAAATTCCTACTAGGCCCCTGCTCCAAAGCAGACGACCCCATGACAGGCAAAGCAAGGTCAACCGGAAAAGAGGGTGGGCGGGCAGGCGGGTGATCCAATGCACTCTGCAAAGAGAAAGAGAAACCAGAGTGCACCAATATTTAAAGACTATGGTCCCACCCACCCAATTTGCAACATAAAATTTGCCCCAGCAACCCGGTTACCCAATCATAATGCCAGGCAACAACTCTTAACCTGCCTGGCAACAAGAAGCCTGGCCCGGCGGCCCACACCGCAACACGTGTTCTCATTTATTGGAGAACATGCTTTGCAATTACAAAATGTAATGAAATCTCAACAGACCTAGAAATAAAAGGCTAAAGATAGCATCTCAGGAACATGAACATCTCAGGTAATTCAGAATAAGATCTAGTAATAAAAACCCAAGAACATAAGCCATAGAACAGCAAAAATAATACATCCCCAAAACAAAACTTGACTCCAGCATTAGCCTCTATAAACAATATCCCACCCCAATGGCCTCCTGGCATGTGGGACAGCATAAGCACTCTTTGTAACGGGAGTCAGTCAGGGCCTCAGCCTCCCAAGCCTGGCCAGGTAGAGAGCAGAGACGAGATTTTGTAGGGGTCACAGTAAGGTTGTTGGAAGCAGACTACTTGTTTCAACAAGTGTTAGGTCCCAGTTGAGCCCTCATATACACCCCAACTGGGTTACCTTTCCAAGACGCCACACCATTGCTAAGGAGTGGAGAGCCTTGGTGAGGAGTGAGGCAGATCTCTGGTCTAGAGCCTAGGGCTTCATCATATCTCTGCTCTCTCTCTCTTTTCGCAAATGAGTTTTTATTGGTTTATCATTATATATACATATAAACAAATACAAAGTATAATACATAAATTACATGTGTCATATCCAGTCCATGAATCATACATATATTACATAGTTGTTTTAAGCTCCACCGAGCCTTAGACTTCCCTCCACTCCTTTGGTAAGTATCAGATAAATTCTGGAATCATGTATTTTATCTCCTTTACTTATTAGTCGTTCGCTGTCAGAGTTATTCCAGTCCCGCCAGTGTCGTCAAAGTTCTACAATTAGTTCTTATATACGTCAAATATTTGTTCCAATTGTCATGAAATTTCTGTTCGTCCTGATCCCTTAATCTTCCTGTTATTTTAGCTAGCTCAGCATAGTTTATCATCTTGACTTGCCAGTCACTTATAGTAGGTATTACCTCCATTTTCCAGTTTTGTTCTAACATGGTTCTTGCGGCCGTTGTGGCATATAAAAATAGATTTTTATCTTCTTTTTTAATTTCTTTGCCAGTTATTCCTAGCAGGAAGGCTTCAGGCTTTTTTGGAAAAGTATATTTCAATTTTTTTTTAAGCTCATTGTAAATCAGTTCCCAAAAGCCTTTCACCTTACTGCATGTCCACCACATATGGTAGAAGTCACCTTCTACCTCTCCGCATTTCCAGCATTTCTTATTCTTTAATCTATAAATCTTAGCTAACTTCACTGGCGTGAGATACCACCTATAAATCATTTTCCAAAGGTTCTCCCTCAATGCCGTACACACCGTGAACTTCATATTAACATTCCACAATTCATGCCACATTACAAAATCAATATTGTGACCAATATCCATGGCCCATTTGGTCATAGCCTTCTTCACCTCTTCGTCTTTTGTGTACCAATCCAATAAGAGATCATACATCATAGACAAAGTTTTATTTTTACCTTCTATAACTTCCACATTAAATTTAGATTTTTTATCTTCAAATCCTAATTTCTTTTTGCCTTCTTTTAGCAAGTCGTTTACCTGGTGGTTTTGCAACCACCCTGTAAATAAGTTATTTACCTCTTCATAGGGTTTAAGTTTTATGCCCTGATCGGTTTTCCTGGTAAGTTCTTCATAAGTGGCTTTCCCCCCCTCCATATTAGTTTTTTTGACAGTCAGCACTTCTATTGGTGAAATCCACCAGGGTGTTTTCTTTTCCAGCAAATCTTTATTTCTTTCCCAAACTTGGAATATTGGTCCTCTAATTATATGATTTAGATAGCCTCTATGAACTTTCACCTTCTCGTACCACAGGTACGGGTGCCATCCGTACCTGTTATCGAAGCCCTCTAAATCCAAAATATCAGTATTTTCCAGTTTTATCCAATCTTTCACCCACATTAAACACGCCGCTTCATAGTATAAACTCAAATCTGGTAATGAGAAACCTCCTCTCTCTTTTTTATCTACCAATATTTTCGTTTTTATTCGCGGTCTTCTACCCTGCCAAATATATCTCGCCAAAGCCCTTTGCCACTCTTTGCACTGTTTTAGCCCCTTAATTACTGGAATAGTTTGAAACAAAAATAGCATTCTGGGCAAGACATTCATTTTGATAACTGATATCCTCCCCAAAAAAGAAAGTTTCAGTCTCTCCCAGATTTCTAGATCTTTCTTAATACTCTTCCAAGTAGCCTCATAGTTATCTTTATATAAGTTTATGTTTTTAGCTGTAATCCACACTCCGAGATATTTCACCTTCTTTGCTGCCATAATTCTGGTTTTTTGTTCTAATTCTACTATATCTTCTTTGCTTATATTTTTTGTCAACATTTTAGTCTTGTTCTTGTTGAGTTTAAGACCTGCCACTTTACTGAACTCTTCTAATTTCTGTAATGTTTCTTGCAGACTATTCTTTGGGTCTTCCAATGTTAATACTATGTCATCCGCGAAAGCTTTCATTTTATATTCTTTACTTCCTACCTTCACTCCTTTGACCTCCATTGTTTCCCTTAACTTCTTATTAAATACTTCCAGCACTGTTATAAATAGCAGGGGAGACAGAGGACATCCTTGCCTCATCCCTTTAGCAATATCAAAAGATTCTGATATATTATTGTTTATTATAAGTTTGGCTTTTTGCTCTTGATAAATAGCTTCAATACCTTTTCTAAATCCTTCTCCAATCCCCATCATTTTCAAATTTTCCTTCATAAAGCGCCAAGAGATATTATCAAATGCCTTTTCGGCATCTATAAATATCAGCGCTGCCTGCTTATCTATTCTACTTTCCAAGTATTCAATAATATCTATCACCGTTCTTACGTTGTCTTTTAGTTGTCTCCCCGGTAGGAAACCCGCTTGGTCTTTATGGATTCTTTTATTTAACACTTTTTTTAGTCTTTCCGCCAGCACATCGGCAAATAGTTTATAATCGTTATTTAATAATCTCTGCTCTCTCTCAGCATCTGTGATGCTTAAGTTGGAGAGCGCATTTCTCATTGCCTATTGATTGCACCTTTGAAAACCAGCCAATGGTCTTGCCTTCAGTGATGTAAACAAACTACTTAGCAAATTGAAGGCTGTCCTTATAGGCACACTGTCATCCTAAGCATTTATTTGAAAGTAAGCATAATTGAAATAGGTGGAATGTATTTTCAAGTGAATGTGCATGTCTTATTGAATCCTAGGAAAATGTGTATATATGGTTGCTGTCTAGGTGTTTGCATCTAGGCCAGAAAGGACGTAATATATTTTTTCTTATAATATATAAAGCATATATTGGTGAAGCTTTGCATGCTTAACATTCGAAGTACAGCTCCTGACATCCTTTGTTTAAAGGGATCTCATGTAGGAGGACATTGGAAGGCTTCTCTGACCTGAGTTTTGGAAGAGCTGCTGTCAATCAAAATAGACAGCACTGGAATAGATGATTATTTAGGCATAGGATAGCCAATATAGAGCCATCCAGATGTTGTGGACTTCAACCCCCAACAGCCCCAGCCAGTATGGCTGATGGTCAAGGATGATGGGATTTGTATTCTAGGAACTTCTTGAGGGCACTGCATTGGCTACCCCTGATTTGGGGTTCCTTTCTTGACACTATTACATACTTTTCAGCTGTTTCATTAGATTGGGATAATGTGCAGCAATAAAACACAATGAGTGTAGAATGACACTTGTTCTTCAGCACAGTGCACTTGTAGCACATGTAACAAACACTTTGCAAGTTTTGAAATTGCTTCCAACCACATAAAAGATGAAACAACAACTATGCAGGACCATAACTTTGAATGTCAATGATATGCAAAGCTTCATTGTTGTACTTCACTGAAGCAAACCTAATTTTCTTGCTCTCTGGTTTTATACATAGAAAATAAGCTTACCGGGTAACAAAACCCTTGAATCTGTTGTCCTGGAGAAAGCAGCTAATGGATCCCTTAGTGGATTCTAAATCCTCATGAGAAAGCTCAGCACCAGACACCTCCCTCCCTCAAGGAGCTTGTTTTAAAACAGGAGACTAGTGTGTATAAAACAAGGCAAAGCTCAAAGTTCATTGGAGCACCTGCTCCAGAACTTGTGCGCTCCAGCATGCCTTGTGCAGAAGAGGCTGCACTGCCTGTACCAGTTACAACTTGCAGCCCTAATTGTCATGGATTTTGCAATATTCTTCCAATTTCTATTCGAACAAACCATCCACTTCCATTTATCCTGTGGTATTACTCCAATTATGTAGACAAGAATCCTTTTATGGTGCATTGGTAATGTGGCAAAAATCCACCAGGCCCCTTATCTACTTGTGTCTATGAGCAAAAGGGTAATTAACAGCATTTAGGCTTTGTTTGGTTTGGGTTTCATTGACACAGAAAGTTGTCCCATTCATGTTTGATTTGCAAAATGTCATCCTTGGTTGAACTACTGCCTACTGCCACCCCCCTTCCATTTCTCCTAAGTATATCTGCCCAGCTTCTTGTGCCTGTTGGTGCAGGCAAGACATGAAACTTCACCACCTTCCCAGCATTTCAGTTTGCTAAAAGCTACATTCTGCTGGTGTAAGCCTCTTGTCCAAGTGCAGACCATTCCATTTTGCTTCTCTCTCCCCTGCCCCTCCATTGCCCTGCCTGATCTTGGGGCTGCAGCTTGCAGAAATATCACTTTTGGGAGTCACCATCTTCCTTTTGAAGCAATACTTTTCTGTGTGCAAAATGCAGAGAGGCCAGTTGCCGCAGGAAGGTCATATCAGAAGTGCTGGTAGATGTGTGTCTGTGTTTGCAACAGGGGCAGGAAACCTATGCCTCTCCAGACATTGCTGGACTCCAGCTCCCATCAACCCCAGCTGGCATGAACAATGGTCAGGGATTATGGGAACTGTAGTCTGGTAACTTCTGGAGGGCCATGGGTTCCCCATGCCTGTTTTACACCTACTGTGTGCCTTTATGGGCATGTCCACTGAAAGGGGACAGGCTAAAGCAATGGCAGGAGGTGAAGGCTGCCTTCTGTCCATGGCATTGCCCACCATCCACCTTCCTTTGTGCTTCTCCAGAGGCAAGCTGGCTGCAAATAGCAAAGCTGTGATGCACTAAGAGAAGGAGGCTGCCGCTTTCCCTCAGACAACATGGTCGTTCTGATGTTGGATAGCTCTTGCTCTCTGGCATTTCTCAAGGGAAAGGCACAGTTCACAACCAGAGACCCACATAAGGACTGTTACACCCCTCTGCAGTTTCATGGAATCGGTGTGAATACTCATACGAAGGCAGCTCATGGGGATAAGGTGTTGACATTTCTATTCCCATGTGTTACCTAATATATTTTCTGTGCTTTCAAAGTTATTTCTGAAATTCTACAGGGAGACCATCTGTTGCCCTCAGTTTGATTTACCATATTGCAATTTTGCATTTTAGATCTTCCCTTTCCAGGCTGACTTCTTGATCTTACATGGTAACTAGTGCAAATGATCGAATTAAACTGGTAAGCTACCTGATCTGTGTCTTCATATTTGCTAATATATAGCCTTAACCATGCTATACAATTTCTTTTCTCCTTCCTTGGTGCTGCGCACAAGGAAGACTTTTTGAAATATTCCAAGTAAATGTGCTCAAGCTATCACAACTCTGACACCTTCATTTCACCAGTTACAGTCGATGAAAAGCACAACTAGCAGGACTGACCAGAATTAATGCAGGAAGCTGTCTTCAGTCCATCTTGCCCACTATTATCTGCCCTAACTAGTTTGCCAAAGTTTCAAGCAGAGGTCTTTCTCAGGTGTACTACTGAGATCCTCTAACTGCATGGTGAGCTTACTTTTGATTCTCAATAGGTTGTTGGACTAAAGTTCCCATCATCTTTGACCACTGGCTGGGAGTGATGGGAACTGGAGTCTAGCAACAACATCTGGAAGGACACAGGATAGCCACCTGCTGTTATAACTGGTTGTGTCGAGAATTGAACTTAGGTCTCTGTACTTGATGAGCTATGGCCTTTGCCCAATGAAAGCATGCCATGAGATTGCATGCATTGAAGTTGCTTCCACAAGTAAATTGAAAATTAGTTTGATGATGGTCAGCTACAAGGCTTTGAATAATGCCATCACCACCTCTCTTGTTAACAATGGTGAAGCTTCTTCTCTTTCAGAGGTGGCCACACATCCAACACATCCCAGGGAATGGGCAGAGGAGGAATGGTGGAGACCACCTCCCCAGCCTGACCCTTCCAGAGAAGAGGAAGACAGTATAGATTTACATCAGTGGTTTACAGGAGCTCACAGCTCAGAGGTAGATGAGGGGGAATGTTGGGAAATAATGAGAGAGGAGGAGGAGGCAGAGCTGGAGCAGCTGGCTGACACAATATCACTAGAAGGCATTCCAGAACCCGATCTCCCAGAACCCAGCAAGCATTGAAAGTAGGAGAGCAAAGGGCCTGGAGACAGAGGGCACTTAGAGGCAACTGTAAGGTGGGTGGTGCTGTTTACAATTGAGGAAAGAGGTGGGGTGGAGATCTACTTGGAGCAACACCATTACTCCAAGAGGCTGCATTTCTAAGCCTCTCTCTATGATTATTGAATACAAAGAATTAGTAAGAACTTCCTTTTTTAAAAAATAGACATCTCTATTGGTTTTTCACTTATTTTACAACCATCCTTTTCATACATGTCAATATTCACAATAAACAATTCAACACACTGAACACTCCAATGTTTAACATGTATGCATAAACTAAAGAGAAAGTAAATATTATGTTACTTATCTACTTATTTTGTTGCTACTTTGTTTGCACCGGACTTCCTTCCACCTCTTACTTGGGTCCATGAAATTCTTTGTTATATGCCTTTCCAATTGTTTGTAATATTCTATTTACCGTCTCTTCCACTGTTCCTACTAGTTGTCTTTACAAGAGTCATTCTAGCCCAGTCAAAAAAATTAAATCACTGCAGTAATCTTCCAGATATTTTTCTAATTTACTCCAATTATTGTTGAATTTTTGGTACTCTTGATCTCTTAACTGCCCTGTCAGCTTGTCCATCTCTGCGTATTCCATCAACTTCACTTGCCAATCCCTCTTTGTTGGAATTTGGTCTCCTTTCCATTTTTGTGCTAACAATACTCTCACTGCCATGGTGGTGTAGTAGGAACTACGGCACGATAGTAAGAACTTCCTTGTCTTATCCCTTCCTGGCAACCTACCGTGGGGAGTTGTATCCTCTGACACCTGCATCCCACTTTATGGTTCCTTTGTTACCAGGCAAAGTCAATCAGTTTCCCTTAGCCTCTTAGACCTTTTTTTGTTTTAATCCTTCTGTTTTATGCTGCTTTTATAATTTTGTGGCTTTTAGTATAGATAGATAGGCAGAGGTTTCACAATTATGGGATTGGGTGAATGGAAAGCTCACTTGGCTCATGTTTCTTTTCCTACCTTCAGCTGCCATTGCACTTCCTTAAGCATCACTGAACTACACGTGCACAGCATATGTGTGTGTTTTTTCCCCCATTTAGGAAAGACAAGGAAACAACATTTTATTGCATACCTCCAAGATCTTCCCAACTGTGCAGAACAACTCCTTCCCTTTCTATCCATCCTTTTTGGTGACCCAGTGCTTCTTCATGCAACATACCCATTTTACAGATCAAGGGAGTGTAGATCATGTTGGTGGGTTTTTTAAACTTATCTTCTATGTAAGCCAGTGAGAGTGGGGAGTGTTTTTCAATTAAAAGATTGCTGTAAGTGTTAATATTATAAGCAATGCAGTGAAACTAGCCAAGTATTTCCTGTTCGGATTTAACACCATATTTGATTTATCACGCCGAGCTCATCTGCACAACACCATAAACATGCAAAACGCAATAAATGTGCCCTTAACTTTACCTAAATGTTTAAAAGGGAACATGCTTTTATTTTCCTCTGAGGTAGAGAGTGGAGATTAATTCATTGCTGCAAAGTACTTTGACATTTCCAGCTGTAAAAGTGAGGGGGAAGGGGAAGGCTTCAGTGGGAGTAGTAATTAAGGGAAGGAGAGTTTCCCATCCTTCCTAATTTTGCATCCCTTTCCATTTCAAGTTCTACTTACGATATGCACATGGGGCTGCAGCTATAAAGAATATGGCTTAGCAAACAGATGTCTTGGGTACCCCAAAGCCTCTTTCAATCCCAGCCAATGTAGTTTTAAGTGGAGAATCCTCATCTTTTTAATTGTTCCTCCTGTAGCAGTTGTCCTATCTCTCAAGATTTCAGTTGTCCTTCTCTGCCTTAGGCTTTATGAGATTGCGTAACCATGATCAATCACTCTTCTGTACCGCAACAAGAGGTGCTGTTCCGTTCTGATGGCTCCTCAGCTGAAACCCAGACATATTAATTTTTTTACTACATGTACATCCTTGCCTCTTTTCCTTCATGTAACTCAAGGCAATGTACATGGGCTTCCCAGGCAGTTTACCACCCAGGCACTGACCAGGCCTGATCCTGCTTAGCTTCAGCAAGGTGTTGCTGCCTCAGGTAACCATGACCTAGAACCAGACATTTCTGGGATCAATTGGGCAAGGCTGCAGCTATGAAATCACCAACAACATAGTGGTGAACCATAACAATTTCTAGACAGTAGCCTCAAGTCTTTGGTGCATGGCTGGGAAGTGTTTTAGCTCCTGCAGCAAATGATAACAGCACTGGTCACTGTGGCACGGACGCTGGCCATGTGGTCTCTCAACCTCTGGCATGGCTGCCTACACTACCCCACTGATTGTGGGCCAAGCACCAGAACTAGGCACAGAAGCAAGCTGTAGATCAGGGCTTACAACTTGGCACCTGACTCCAACTCCCATCATCCCTGACTATTGCCCATACAGGCAGGGGATGATGGGAGTTGGAGTCCAACAACATCTGGCTATCTACAGCTTGGTTTTATGCCTGCCCCTTTTGTTGGCTCACCATCGCTTTGAGACCACGATACCATTTTCTAGCCATTTCCTGATCCTCCTAGCTTTGTCTGTCTGTTTTTCTTGTGGCTGTGATCATGCTGTGATACAGCATGAGGAGTCTTTTTATTCTTGCTTAAATCCACATTCTTCTGCTGCCTTTGTTCCTCTAACTGAGACCTGATCGATAATCTGAAATTTCTTCTTTTTAAACAGAGGTGGAGGGAAACACACTCATGCTTGTTGTAACCATTTTTGGCTTCAGGGATTTGGCCTCCTTCACTTCACAATGGCTTTAAAAAAATAGGTCCACGTTGTGGATGGATTGATTAATTAATCAGCCTGTAAGAAAGTCACTTCACTGGCTTTATAAGAACACAGTTTGAAGAATTATTATGACGTGACAAAAGTCTGATGTCAACAATGACAGGATACACTTAAACAGAATCTTTCAACCAGGGATTTCAAAGGAATTGCTGAGGCTGTCATGTTTGCAAAAAGAAAACTTGTTTGGGCTAATCCCAGTTATGAGTAGGAGAAAAAGAGGACATGGTGGTACAAAATTTGGTTTGGGGGCACAAAGGGGGTGTCTTGTTAAAATCAGTGAGGCACCCGTCTGTGTTGAATAATGCACTTGGTTCATAGGTCAATGCAAACAGTCCCTTGCTTTTCTGAACAATAATGCTGTATCCATATATCCTGGAATAATGCCCATTGAAGGATTTAACCCTGTCTTCCCACCCATCAGGTGACATCATGGTGGGTGTGGTTTGAGAAAAATGGTCTTGTGAGACAACTTGAATCCCCTGATGGGCTAAGATTGGCCCATTGTCCAGAGGTTCCCCAGCCCTGAAGTATGCTATATGGATCACAACTGTACAACTGTTGTACAGCTTGTACAACTGGAGGCGGGCAAATGTTGTCCCCATCTTCAAGAGGTTTCTGTATTTGCAGTGCCAGCACTTCTTAATCAATAGTATCATAGGCATCTGAAAGATTCAATTAAATCAATTGTGTTCAATTCCCTCTGTAGGACCCTCATTCCCCTTGATGAAGATAATCAACTAAGACTGTGAGCACAGTTGCCATTCTATGCCCATAACTGAAAACCTGGCTGGCAAGAGTCCAGGAGACAAATGGTTTCCAGGTACATCTGAAGCTGCAGCGAAACACCTGTTTGCCATCCTACTCCCCAAAGGGAAGGCTGGGAATGAGGCAGTAGCTAGCTGGGGTATCAGCCCTGACGTTTACCTTTTAGTACACATTCATGAAAAGTTAGCAGTATTTGCATTCACTTGAGAGTGAATCCCCAAAGGAAATGCCACTTGATAGCGTTCTCTTTTTAATGTTTTGTCTACAAGCGGCCATTTAGCTCAGCACAAAAAACCAAAAAGAAAATCCAGTATGTTTATTTTCATTCAAGGAACATTGTGCCTTCTTGCTTTGGTGGAAATGTGTCTGAGCATTTTTGACATGCAAAAACTTCCCGTTGGCACCAGTTCTTTACACTGAAATTCTTTCTGAAATAATTGTTCAAGCAAATAGGAGGCTATTTTTATCCCCCTTGTATTTTAATATGGATGGCTATAGGACTAACTCTGCAGAGAACAACCAGCTTGTTCAGAATTATTAGGAAACCCTTTGCAAAGCAGTTGTGCATTTATAAACATTCCATATAATCTGTACGTGCCTTGCACGAAAGACTTAGACATGCTGTTGAATGATGAGAACTGGTCGATATCTGTTGTTCATCACAAACAGATTACCTGCATTTATTTTTCAGACCTGCCAAGAATGATTCAGAGTAATACTGATTGATCAATTCACTGTCTTCATAAAATCAGGTGTTTACGGTATGAATTAAAATCAAAGGCATTTGCATATAGAGTTTACAAGAGAGAAGTCAGATTCTAATTTTCATATATCATTTAATACAGGGATGGGGAAACCTGTGGTCCTGAAGATGTCATTGGATTCCAACTCCCATTAGCCTCAGGCAGCATAGCCAATGGTCAGGAATGATGGGAGCTGTAGCCCAGCAACATCTGGAGGTTTGCCATTCCTGATTTAATAAATGAGGAATGTACTAGGAGCATTTCTACAGCTAAGATTATGCTGCTATTTACATAATAATAGCAATTAGTTGCAGCAATGAATTGCCTAATAGTAATAATATAATAATTATATTGTTGTTTGTTATAGACAACATTTTGGTCTAGTGGGTAATCCAGTGTAATGCTAAGCAACCATCCTGTCGAGTTCCACTTGTGCAATAGGATTCTCCCCTCCCCCTGCCTCCCCAAATCTTTCCCCCACCCCCAGAACTGATTTGGGGAGAGTGTGGGGCATCTGGGGGGAGGAAGAAAGGAATTAAGTCCCATTGTGGAAGCAGAAATCCTTGTGCTAGTGGGACAGTAACTTAGCAATACATTGGATTCCCCCATGGTTTCCTAGAAAAATGGCATGGTGTGCTGTATACATATTCATTTACTGAAATGGTTTCTGTATGCCTTTGCCCTGAAAACAGGATCCAAGGCTGTTCACAACACAACAGTCACACACCCTAGTACAATCAATTTGAAACAAAACATTCTCCTAGCCTTGATGGGCTGGGGGTTAGTGCCTGCATGTCAGTGGTTGGACCAGGATCTAGGAGACCAGGGTTCAAATCCTCAGTGAGCCATGAAGCTCACCATAAACCAGTCCCAACTCTCAGCCTAACCTACATCACAGCATGGAAAAGGGGAGAACCATATACACTTTGGCTGAAATCTTTGGAGTAAAGGTGTGCATTTATATGAATGCAGTCAGCATTCCAGTTAAACAATATGGGGCAAGGGTAGTTAGCCTGTAATTCCTCCAGATATTGTTCAGCTCCCATCAGCCTCAGCCAGCAAGGCCAGTAGTCAAGAGTGAAAGAAGGTGTAGTCCAACGATGTATGGAGGGCCATAGAACCCAATCCTGATACAGGGTGAGACATCAACTAAAATTAAGCAGCTATAGGGAGTATGGTAACATATGTCGTTACAGAGAAGGTATTCAAACTTAAGTGTTCATCAGTGGATTGTGTGCTTCAAAATGATTGGTTATTTTCTTAAGTCTTTTTCATTTAGCTTTACGTTGGTTGTAATGTAACTTTTATGTCCCAGGCTGGTTGAATACTTTTTACTGAAAAGGCAAGAGTGCTTCACTGCAGACTTTGTTCCCCCTCCTTGCCATCAATTATGCAAAGAAACAGTGAGAGCAGCAAAGGCCACTTACTATGCTGGGCATTGCTAGGCTATCTCACCAAGGTCATTTCTGTGTTATCGTTATACCTTAAAAAGTATTTAAGGAGGATTTCTCCTGTAGCCTTGTTGTTGAATGTTGGACAAGAGTGAGCTCATTTCCCACTATAATAAAGAAGAAAAGGAGCTGTTCTTGGTGCTGAAAGCCAGCCAGCCGAGTTGGCTAATTAAAATAATAATGGTAGCAGAGTCTCACGCTCCAGTACACAAACATTTCTGGGAAATGTCCCATGCATCTGTGGGAATTATAAATGTCTCACCGTCTCCATATTTTTACAAAACCGTATCATGTCCTTGAACCATATGTGCAGCTCATTTGATTACTGGCCATGTTGAGATGATTCCCAGTGGTGACAGGATGATGGTTATCATGTTTGACTTCTAAATGCATTTAAGAAGAAAAGTGGGGGGGGGGGAGAGACTTTACGAAATAGTGGTTAAAATACAATTGCTTCATTTTTCCCTAGGGCAGAAAGTGGTGTGCAAATTTGAAAGCTCTATTTATTATTTCCGCCCAGTCGCTGAAATGGAACCACAGCATGAGGAAAGAGGAGGCTAAATCTGACAAGAAATTTGACCTCTATATCTGCACATGTAAAAGTGACTTGAGCCTAAACCAGTGAGGTGATGCTAGTCAGGCTGTGTCACCATGATTTAGCTGGTGGTGTCAACTGTGCAGGTGTCTCTTTGCAGCCAACTGTTGTTGCCCTGTTGCCCTTGTGAAAGAGCAAGATGAGCAGTACTGCATTCTACTGAATGACCACACACAGCAGAGGGCTGAAAACATTTATGACCAATAGACCATGCAAGGAGATGGGAATGGGGCAAAGGAAGCACTGGAGATACATATATGAGTTACCCTGTGGAGGATGAAGTTACAGCCACAGCCACAGCCACACACACACACACACACACACACACACAGTAAGAGAGAGAGAGAGAGAGAGAGAGAGAGAGAGAGAGAGAGAGATCTAGATCCAGATGCTTCTCTCCTCCACTCCCCATGGGCCAAGTTTGGTTAGGGCCACCCACCTGACAATCACCCGATGTCACAATAACATCAGGTGACCTGCTTTCACCCCTGTGGTTTGAAATAAAAACACATGAACAAAAGCTTTGTACACACTGATGATCAGCTGATAGGCAGACCCCTCTATCCCAAATCCCCTTTTGGCCCAGCCCCATTTTTACCTGCTTCATAACAAACATATTCAGTGCTTAGGTGTAGGGCAGGGGTGTGTGTCTTGGCCAAAGGAGCCTCCCGGGCCAAATGGCTCTCCAAGGTCACCACTCCTGTGTTAAAAGATACTATAGTCCCTGCCCACAGACGAACAATCTAATAGAGAAAATACAAGGGGGAGGGGGGAGGATGGCAAGCAGTGGAGCAGTTGCTCTTTGACTGGCTTGGATCAGGCTGGTCTCTCTTTTGCCATTGTATTATTCCTGGGAGCCAAGGGATGCAACTTCCCAGTCACCCTAGGTCACCTGGCTGGGTGTGTACTTCTCTTAATCTCTACAGTCCCAGGGTGTTACTTCTTACAGAGAAAAGGGGAACTACTTCTCTGGCCAGAGTTCCCTGCCGCCGCCCCCCCTCCCCAGCTCACCCCAATCTGCAATCCGGAATGCACTCCATTGGAATCCATGGACTCACCTATTTCTGATGCAGAAAAGTACTTTCCACTAACTTCAACCTTTTGCCCTCTCTCAGCCTCCCTTTGCCAGCAGAGAAAAGTTCACCTCTCTATTTCTCTCTTCTTGCTTTCTCTCTTTTCTCCGTGGCTGCCTTTTAAGCAGCCTGTTATTAAATCTCCCCCCAGACTTCTTTCCTGTAGACTATATATATCCAAACCCTTTACTGTCGTTGGTTTTGAATTCTAATTGCACTATTTCTTTCCTTCCTATTCTGAGGATAATGAGGGAAAACGAAATGCCGTGCTTTTGATGAACTATGTGACATTCTTGGCTGAGTTCTGGGTTCCCTATATGTTCCTCATCCCATGTCATCCATCTCATCAGAAGCTGGGTTTATTCAGTTTTCTGCCTAGGGTTTCGCCACCAAACCCAGGTAGACAGGAAGCCTGGGTATTAGCAGCAAGGGTGGTATGATTGCCTAACCCAGGCATGTGGAACCCCCCACCCCATTGGCCAAATTAGGCCTGGAGGGTGACCTATTGCAGCCTACAAGTCTGTTTTTTCCTAGCTGTGTCCACCTGCGAGACACATGATATTACAAGACATCAGGTGTGGGGTGGTAAAACCACAGCTGTAAAGGAAAAACCAGGAGCCTTCAAGTGTTTCCTGATTGTTCCTCTGCATGCAAAGCCAGAGTCAGACCAATATCAATCTAGCATGATATTGCCTGCACTGACTGCCATCAGCTCTCCAGGATTTCTCTTCTCATTTTTTCTTTGTTAAAGGTGCAAATTAATAAGTTAGAGAAATAAACTGCTCTGAACTAAATCCATAACTCAGGAAAACCAAGAAGTTTTCCACAATGACCTCTATATATTATTAACATGCACCAGTGTGATGTAATCTTATGCAATGGTCATATGATATGAGCAGAACCCTGTATAACATTGGTTTCCCCTGCGCTGAGAAGCTGCCGCTCAATCACATTCACATCCTTTTGTTCTCCAGGCCAAGGACTGCATTGTTCTGCTCCTGCTTCGGTGGGGGGGGGGGGAAGCTCTCATTTACTGAACATTATGTCTGATCAATACAACAAGCAAGCTGAGATTTACGAGGAGTGCATAATGGATGTATCTCACATCTTAGCCTATACATCCCCCTTTTAAAAATATGCCAGCAGCTGAGTATACAGAGGAGATGAGGATACAGAAAGTGACACAGAACAATAAAGCAACAAGCCTTGAAGAAGGTACAAAGTCAGCCAAAAACCCCACAAACAAACTTTCAAGTTTGCCTGGCTGGCAAATAGTAAATAAACCTGGACCAGCCTGGGAATTCTTAAATAATGTATTAAAGAGTGTCCTTTATACTGATCAGAATATGTTTGTAAAAGTATAAAAAGCTACTGTTTTGTATAGAATACAAAACACAGAATGCAACGAGGAAGGGAAAATTGACTTGCATGAAGATTAAACATGACATTTTCGCTCTTTGATTTCAAATTCCTGGGCGTCGTAGGTGGGGCAGATATGTCATTTTAGACTCTGGACTTAATGCTCTTATGGAGAGCCTTCTCTAAATGAAAATGTATGCAGTTTCACAATGTGATCAGCCAGCTCCCCTCCCACCACTCATCTGGAAAGAGCTCAGTTCTACACCATTGCAGGCTCTCACCCTGGGGTGAGTATAGAAATAATAATAATAATTTCAATATTTGTATCTTGCCCATCTGACTGGGTTGCCCCAGCCACTCTGGGCAGCTTCCCTCCAATAGAATCATAGAATCATAGAGTTGGAAGAGACCACAAGGGTCATCGAGTCCAACCCCCTGCCAAGCAGGAAACACCATCAGAGCACTCCTGACATATGGTTGTCAAGCCTCTGCTTAAAGACCTCCAAAGAAGGAGACTCCACCACACCCCTTGGCAGCAAATTCCACTGTCGAACAGCTCTTACTGTCAGGAAGTTCTTCCTAATGTTTAGGTGGAATCTTCTTTCTTGTAGTTTGGATCCATTGCTCCGTGTCCGCTTCTCTGGAGCAGCAGAAAACAACCTTTCCCTCCTCTATGTGACATCCTTTTATATATTTGAACATGGCTATCATATCACCCCTTAACCTCCTCTTCTCCAGGCTAAACATGCCCAGCTCCCTTAGCCGTTCCTCATAAGGCATCGTTTCCAGGCCTTTGACCATTTTGGTTGCCCTCCTCTGGACATGTTCCAGTTTGTCAATGTCCTTCTTGAACTGTGGTGCCCAGAACTGGACACAGTACTCCAGGTGAGGTCTGACCAGAGCAGAATACAGTGGCACTATTACTTCCCTTGATCTAGATGCTATACTCCTATTGATGCAGCCCAGAATTACATTGGCTTTTTTAGTTGCCGCGTCACACTGTTGGCTCATGTCAAGTTTGTGGTCAACCAAGACTCCTAGATCCTTTTCACATGTACTGCTCTCAAGCCAGGTGTCACCCATCTTGTATTTGTGCCTCTCATTTTTTTGCCCAAGTGCAATACTTTACATTTCTCCCTGTTAAAATTCATCTTGTTTGTTTTGGCCCAGTTCTCTAATCTGTCAAGGTCGTTTTGAAGTGTGAGCCTGTCCTCTGGGGTGTTAGCCACCCCTCCCAGTTTGGTGTCATCTGCAAATTTGATCAGGATGCCCTTGAGACCATCATCCAAGTCGTTGATGAAGATGTTGAATAAGACCGGGCCCAAGACAGAACCCTGTGGCACCCCACTAGTCACTCTTCTCCAGGATGAAGAGGAACCATTGATGAGCACCCTTTGGGTTCGGTCAGTCAGCCAGTAACAAATCCACTGAGTGGTAGCATAGTCAAGACCGCATTTTACCAGCTTCTTTACAAGAATATCATGGGGCACCTTGTCAAATGCCTTGCTGAAATCAAGGTAGGCTACATCCACTGCGTTCCCTTCATCTACCAGGCTTGTAATTCTGTCAAAAAACGAGATCAGGTTAGTCTGACGTGACTTATTTTTCAGAAATCCATGCTGACTATTGGTGATCACAGCATTCCTTTCTAGGTGCTCACAGACTGTTTGCTTAATGATCTGCTCCAGAATCTTCCCTGGTATTTCCAACCAAGTATTCTTGTACTATCTCCTTAGTTATTCTGGGCTGTGTTTCCTCTGCTGAATCATTTGCTCCAAATTCTTCAGGTCGGGCATTGTTTTCTTTATCGGAGAAGACTGAGGCAAAGAAGGCATTGAGGAGTTCAGCCCTTTCTGTGTCCCCTGTTTGCATTTCACCATCTTCTCCTCTGAGTGACCCCACTGTTTCTTTGTTCTTCCTTTTGCTACTGAACATACCCATAAAAGCCTTTTTTGTTGCTTTTAACCTCTCTAGCAAGCCTGAGTTCATTCTGTGCTTTAGCTTTTCTGACTTTGTGTCTACACGTGCTGGCTATTTCTTTGAATTCCTCTTTGGTGGTTTCCCCCCTTTTCCATTTTTGTACACATCCTTTTTAATCTTAACTCAGTTAAAAGTTCTTTAGATAGCCACCCTGGCTTCTTTAGGCACCTTCCATGTTTCCGTCTCATTGGTATTGCCTGAAGTTGTGCTTTTACTATCACCCTCTTAACAAACTCCCAGCCATCATGAACTCCCTTTCCTTTTAGTATTACTGTCCATGGGATCTCACCCAGCACTTCCCTAAGTTTTATGAAGTCGGCTTTCTTAAAGTCAAGAAATTGTGTCCCAGTATGCTTGGCTGCTCCTTTCCGCTGTATAGTAAACTTCAGAAGAGCATGATCACTCGCGCCTAATGATCCTTCCACTTCTACCCCACTAACCAGGTCATCAACATTGGTTAGGACCAGATCTAAAATGGCTGTTCCTCTTGTTGCTTCTCCCACTTTCTGGACAATGAAGTTGTCTGCAAGGCCAGTGAGGAATCTGTTTGACCTTATGCTCTTGGCTGAGTTTGACATCCAACAAATATCCGGGTAATTGAAGTCCCCCATTACTACTATCTCCCTTCCTTTTGCATGCTTGGCCATCTGTTCCAGGAAGGCATCATCTATGTCCTCCATTTGGCTTGGGGATCTATAGTAAACTCCCACAATGAGGTCACTCTTATTCTTCTCTCCCTTAATTTTGACCCAAATGCTCTCACTTTGGCTTTGAGGTTCTAAATCTTGGATCTCTTCACAGGTATACACATCCCTGACATATAACGCCACTCCTCCTCCTTTCTTGTCTAATAGCCTCAGACAATATACTGCACAGGGTAATCTTCCTTCCTTCCTAACTGCAGTCCCCTCCCCCTATAGTGTGGGCCTTCACTAGTTGCCTGTTCTAGGGGCTGAGCAAGAATTTTGGGGAGAGCCCCTCACTGGCACCTGGGACTCTCTCTTTTTGGCAAGTCCTCACTGCAGAGAGCCATTGTATTGATTTGTTCCATTTGGTGTTATTGGCATTCTGCACAGGTAGGTTGGAAAAAGTAAGATATGAGCGGACTGCCACCATTGGCATTATTGGGTAAGGGGGCACATTGCTTCCCTCAAAGAATCTGGGGAACTCTACTTTCCCCTTCACAGAACTATGATTCTCAGCACCCTTAACAAAATGATTCTTTGTGGAAATGCTGTGTGGACACACCCTGAGTGTCAGGTGGAGTTTGACACTGAGTTTGTACTACTTGGCAGCCTGTGCCCTCATTTCCTGACTTGCTGCAGTGCCTTCTCTCTGGAACCCATTCCAGCTGTCTGTTGACATGGTTCGCTGTACTGATGATGGGCTACAATGAGTTGTTCTGTTTGTGGGCTTCTGCATAAGACATGTGTGATGTGTTACTTTGATTTGTTTCTTTGGTTACTTCTTTGCATGCTCTGTCAACTGGTCACCCTGCCGTCCTTGAGATTGTGTATATTTTTTTAATACTGTGCAAATAAATGTAGGACACCATGTGGAACAGCTGGAACACGGCCTTATTTTGTTTTCCCAAGACGAAAACAAAGAAACGATTTCTTACCAAACAGAACTGTTTTTCAAAGTGCAGTTCAGGTTGCAGCTTACACTTGGGATGAGGAAAGAGGAAAATTAAGGAGAAAATTAAGATTTGGTTCATGAAGTAATAGCAAAACAACATTGCAATCACCTCACTGACAAACTTCACTGTCAAAACGCTTTCTCCCTCCAAAGATAAAGAATGGAAGGTGGTTTTTAAACAAGTCAGAAGCTGTGAAGTTACTTGTACATATAGAAACACATACTACCCTTTTCATTTAATTTTACAGAGCAAACTAAAGAAGCCTTGGAATAATAGATTTTTTTTATTGCAGCACAGGGAAGCCTGCCCTGACTGAGGCTAATGGGAATTGTGGCCCATCAGGTTAGGGGAGGCTGGGCTAGGAGGATGGAGGGTTTTTAAAGCCTTTGAATAATAGCTTAAGTGGCACACAGAGTCTGACAACTTCTGCTACCTCAGTTGTAGCTTTTTTTTCTTTTTTTTTTAGGGTAAGTGCAACTTGCTTCTAATTTGCCCTAATATGGATTTCAAAGTCTAATAGATTCCTCATCTTTTCTTAGTTGGAGCAAACTGGTATGAAACAGTTGGGAAGTTGGGGGAGTCCTCTTAATCAGCCTAGCCTTCCTAGATCAACCCCTCTACACACACACACACACACACACACACCCTTCAAGGTTTTGATGCAGAACAGCGAACACTGCGATGGCATGATGACCTTCTGCAATAGCATTTCTCTCTTCTGGGAATGAATTGATTTTTCTTTGGCTGCTGTGCAGCAATCCAAGCTGACCCAGGGCTTCGATGTGTAAAGTGCCACCAACAGCAAGGGAGCAGAAAGGATTTCATCAGCTTTTAAGGAATTAAAATGGAATGCTAGCTGCCGAATGTCTCCCCCCCCCCTTTTTTTTTCTTTTCTTTCCAGCCGTTTCCAAAAATAGCTAGTTCTGGTTCCTAAGGTACTGGGGCTGGTGGATTCGTTTTTCACATGTACTTTATGCTGTCAGTACTGACTTAGAGGATTTGAGAGTAGGGGCCAATTGACAAGACTATCTGGCAGGCTTAGTACCTATGTCAAAAATTTAGGGTATAAGCCATGAAAGAACGATTATCACTTTCGGAAAGCCATTCATTTTCATGAAAGATACATTTGGAGGAAATTCAAAGCATAAAAGAGTAAGAAGGAATCTGCCAGGCAAGGCCAACAGACCATCTAGTTTAGCATTATGGGTGGAATCGGGTGTTCAATTTTTGGCTCACTTAATGTTGAATTAAACTCTGTTGCTTGTGATGAGTATGAGTTACTCGTGCGTAAACTGGTGCCTCTCTAGGCTAATTTGCCTTGTTAAACCTTTCTGACTGCACAGCCCTTTCTAATCATGACTGTCTCAGTCACTGGCAGAATCCGTCAGTGGGCGTTTCTTGAATCTCTTCCAACATAAGAGTTGTTTGACACCCAATCTCCTCCTCCTCTCACTGCGCGGGAGCCTTCTGCGCAGGGAGGGCGTAGGTAGCGGAGGACCTGTCCCCTCCTCACTGAGTTCCAGTGAAGAGTCCGGGAGCCCTCTCTCCGATTTCCCCATCTGCCCACTTTTGTTCCTGGTGTTGCGCTTAAATGCTTCCCCTCCACTGAGCTGCTTCTCCCCCTGCTGCTGGGTCCTTCTCCAGCATCATCTAGGAGCCTCCCCTTCGCCTCCCGCTCCGATGTCAGTTCCCTGACATCCACCTCCCCCCCCCGAATCCCCACCACCCCAGGACCGACCGGTGGGCCCACCGACGTCCCCGTCGGCGGCCGAGGAGGCGGGGAACCCCCGGAAGGAACTGTCACCATCTTCTGTGGATTCGAACCCGCTTCCCAACCGCTCTTCCACCTGCCAACGGGGTGGTCTTCCCAGTCTGATTCTTCTTCCTCCGAAACCTCTCCTCCCTCCTCCTCGGAGTCAGAAAATCCCTCAAAAACCTCTTCCTCATCTGTGGTTCCAAATTGCTCCTCCCAGAATCTCTCCAGGGGTTTGGGTTTGTCCGGGAACCGGCGGTGGAATACCTCCACCAGATACCTGTCCTCGAAGGCTTCCGTGGGGACCCACGTGTTTCGGACCTGGGTTCCCCTTCCCACGCTACCAAATACTCCACCCGGCGCCCTTGCCACCTTGAGTCCAGTATTTCCGTGGCCCTGTGGTGGTGTTCCTTTCTTCTACCTGCGGGTGTGTGGTGACTTCTCCTCTTGCCCCTGGAATTCCCGCCCTTCCCTATGCGGTGAGAGCAGGGACCTGTGGAAAACCGGGTGTATTTTCATGCTATCAGGCAACTTGAGCTTAAATGCCACGGGATTAACTTGCTGTGTTACCTCAAAAGGTCCCAGCCGTCTGGGCTGCAACTTCTTGCACCCCCCTTTGAAAGGTAGCCCTTGGGTGGACAACCACACCCGGTCCCCCACCCGTATGGTCTCCCCTCCCTGCGGTGCTTGTCTGCCTGCCTCTTGTAAGTTTCCTTGGCCCGCTCCAAGTTCATCTTAAGTTGCTGGTGTAGGGCCTCCATTTCTTCCACAAACTGCTCTGCAGCGGGTACGCTCCAGCTTTCCTCCCCACTCCCGGGAAGGCCCTGGGATGACACCCATGGTTGGCCATGAATGGGCTCATTCCCGTGGACACGTGTTCCGCGTTGTTGTACGCGAATTCAGCCAGCGCTAGTTTTTCTACCCAATCGTTCTGCCTCTCGCTGACATAGCAGCGTAGGTATTGCTGGAGTATACTGTTCGCTCTTTCTGCTTGCCCGTTGGTCTCTGGGTGTCTCGCCGTCGAGAAACCCACCTCCACCTGCAGCAAGCTCATGAGCTTCCTCCAGAACCGGGAAGTAAATTGTTTTCCGCGGTCGGAGATAACCCTCAAGGGGCGCCATGCAGCCGGAATATGTGCTCCACAAACAACCGGGCTGTTTCCTCTGCCGTTACAGCATGTGAGCAAGCTATAAAATGGCACATTTTTGTCAGTAGGTCGACCACTACCATGACTGCTGTCTTTCCCGGGACTTGGGCAAATCTGTCATAAAATCAATGGATACCACCTCCCAGGGTTTCCCGGCGTGGGTAAGGGTTCCAGTAATCCTGTGGGGGCAGCCCACTCCCCTTTGCCCTTTGGCAGCGGTCGCACCCCCGTACATATTCCCGTACATCCTCCCTCACCCTGGGCCACCAGAACTGCCTGGTCACAAGCATCATGGTTTTGTGCTGTCCAAAGTGCCCTGCTGTGGGGTTGTCGTGGAGTTGTTTGAGTACCTTTCCCCTCAGGGTCTCCCCCGGTACGTACAGCGCTCCCCTATAGTACAGTACCCCTTCCTTCTCCTCAAACCCTTCTTGGGTCCCTCTTCCGTCTCGTAGTTCCCGGATTTTAGTTTGCGCGAACACGTCGTTTCTGGTCAGCCCGGCTAGTTCTCGTTTCCCCACCAAAGTCCCCCACACACCCATCGGTCCTCGGGGATCACGTGTCGTTTCTCCGGCGGCCCCTCTCCTTCCAGGTACTCCGGTTTACGCGAGAGAGCGTCTGCTCTTACGTTTTCCTCTCCGGGCACGTATCGGATTTCAAAGAAAAACTTGGAGAACTCCTGTGCCCATCGAATCTGTCTCTGGTTGAGTACTCGTGCGGTTCTCCAGTACTCCAAGTTCTTGTGATCTGTGCAAACCTGGATCTGTTGTTGCGCCCCTATCAGTAGATGACGCCAACGACGAAAGGCCACGTAGATTGCCAGCAGTTCGCGGTCATACACTGTATAGTTTTGCTCCGACTTGCTCAGTTTTCTCGAGAAAAAGGCACACGGTTTCGATTCCTGCTTGCCCTCCCTGGCTGCAAAGGACCGCCCCTACGGCTCTGTCGGACGCGTCGGTCTCTAGCCTCAGGGGTTTCTCCAGATCTACGTGCAGGAGTTGCTCTTCCGATGCGAACGCCTTCTTCAGTTTTTCGAAGGATTGCTGGGCCTCTTCTGTCCACACAAACTTCTTTTTGCTACTGAGACAATCCGTGATGGGCGCTGTCAAGTGGGCGAAGTTCTTGATGAACTTCCTGTAGAAGTTGCTGAACCCTAGGAACCTCTGTACGTCCTTCCGTGTTTTGGGAGCCTTCCACTCCAGCACTGCCTGCACCTTGCTTGGGTCCATCGCTAAGCCTTTGTCAGACAACTTGTACCCCAGAAACTCGACTTCTCTGGCGTGAAACTGACATTTTTCCAGCTTGACCCACAACTGGTGCTTCTGCAGTCGTTGTAACACTTCCCTGACGTCTCTAACATGTTGCTCCTCATTGTCCGAATAAATTAAGACGTCGTCCAAGAAGGCTACGCAGTTCTTGTACAGCAGAGACCCCAACACGTGGTGCATGAAAGCTTGAAAACAGGCGGAGCCCGACTGTAATCCAAAAGGCATAACTAAGTACTCAAAGGCACCTAGGGGTGTGAACATTGTGGTCTTCCATTCGTCCCCCTCCCTCATCCTGATCAAATTGTATGCGCCCCTGAGGTCCAGCTTGGTAAAAATTTTGCCTTTCCTCACTCGCGTTAAAATGTCGTCAATCCTGGGCATTGGGAAGGTCACGGGTTCTGACACCAAATTGACAGCTCTATAGTCCACTACGAGCCTGGGTTTATTTGTGTTCTTTTGTCCACAAAGAACACCGGACTGCCCCCTACTGCCTTTGATTCTCTTATGAAGCCTCTTTTCAGGTTCTTGTCAATAAATTCTCGCAACTCCTTCATCTCCCTGTCAGACATGGCGTACAGCTTACCCACTGGCAGCTGAGCCCAGGAAGCAAGTTGATCTGGCAGTCAAAGGGCCTATGGGGTGGCAGTCTATCTGCCTCCTTCTCGCTGAAGACCTCCCGCAGATCTGCGTATTGTGGCGGCACCTCCCCTTTCCGCTCCACCGCCATCCCAGCCACCCTGGCCACGGTCATTCTTGGGGCTTCCCCTAGACAGTGTTCCAGGCAGTAAGCTGACCCAAAGGTGACTGTCCTCTGATGCCACGCCACCACTGGATCATGTTGTGCTAGCCAGCTCATCCCTAATATTATTGGGGGCCCTGCTAGTGAGGCGACGTGAAAGGCGATGGTCTCCGAGTGCCTGGACACCCTCATTCTCATTGGTGGGGTCTGGTGTGTCACTTCCCCTCCTAGAAGCTCCCTGCCATCAATGGTGGTCACTTGCAAGGGAAAATCCAAAGGCAGTAAGTGGAGCTGGTGCTCTAATGCAAAGTCTTTGCTGAAGAAATTACATGAGCTGCCTGAATCCAGCATCCCTTTCACCTTGACTGGGTGCCCGTTCGGGAGTTCTAGCACCACTTCGATGGCTATTGCCGCCTTGGGGGGGTCTGGTTGGGGCACTTTTACTGGTGGCTGGCCTGGCTGTTGTGCCCCTTGATTGGCAGCCAAGCGTATCCGTTTCCCTGTTCCTGTTCCTTTACCACCTCCTCCTCACCCCCTGCGGCTCCCACCATTCCTTGCCAGGCCTTTCTTTGAGGGCAGGCTCTGGCAAAATGGCCTGGCCGCTGGCAAAGGTAACACTTCTTGGAGGTTTTCCAATCCTTTCCCTCCTTTTTTGCGCCCTTCGCTGGTGCTTGAAACTTCCACGCGCGTGCCCCATCTATTTCCATTGGCTCTGCTGGCGGGGAAGGCTGCCTTGGTATTTCAGGAATGCGGTAGTCATGGCAACGTTGCTCTCTCCCTTCCCGCCTCTCCTGGGCCCGCGCTCCTGGCGCACGCCAATCGCAAGCACAGCCTTGGTCAGCTGATCCATCCCCTGTGGGCGGGGTGCGCGGGAAAGTTCATCCTTAACCGTTGGGGACAACCCCTCCTCGAATAACATCTGTATGGGTTCGGAGCCCAGTTCCCACCCGAGGCGGTGAACTATCATGGCAAAGCGCGACCAGTAGTCCCTAACTGACTGGCTCCCGTTTACAGTTCATCAATTCCCGCTTTGTCACACTTTTTTGAACATCAGTGGAAAACATTGCGTCCATTGCTTGGAAGAATTTCCTCAGGTCCTGCATGGCGGCATTCTGCGTCGCCATAAGGGGCCTGACCCATTCCCTGGCCCCGTCCTGCAGGTGACCCACGATACATGCCACCCGCACCGCGTCGTCTTCAAAATCGTCATGCTGCAATTTCAATGCGTACTCTATTTCCGTTCGAAACGCACTGTATTCTTGCGGCTTCCCCCCAAATTTGTGCACCAGTCCCGGTACCTTCCTTGCTATGGGGGTGGGTCTGACCTGTGCATCTTGAGACCGCCTTTCGTCCAGCCGCGCCGTCAGAATGGCCACATGCTGCTCCAACTCTCGGTTCCTCTCCACCAGCGTTTGCCCTCCAGCTGCTCCCCTGGGTGCTGGCTTCTCCGGGCTTGCTCATGATGCTGCCTGCCTGCTGCTGCGCACGAGCAACTTTCAGGGACTGACGGATTGCTGTGATGAGTATGAGTTACTCGTGCGTAAACTGGTGCCTCTCTAGGCTAATTTGCCTTGTTAAACCTTTCTGACTGCACAGCCCTTTCTGATCATGACTGTCTCAGTCACTAGCAGAATCCGTCAGTGGGCGTTTCTTGAATCTCTTCCAACATAAGAGTTGTTTGACACCCAATCTCCTCCTCCTCTCACTGCGCGGGAGCCTTCTGCGCAGGGAGGGCGTAGGTAGCGGAGGACCTGTCCCCTCCTCACTGAGTTCCAGTGAAGAGTCCGGGAGCCCCTCTCCGATTTCCCCATCTGCCCACTTTTGTTCCTGGTGTTGCGCTTAAATGCTTCCCCCTCCACTGAGCTGCTTCTCCCCCTGCTGCTGGGTCCTTCTCCAGCATCATCTAGGAGCCTCCCCTTCGCCTCCCGCTCCGATGTCAGTTCCCTGACAGTTGCTAGTTCATCCTGATGGATGGATGAAGGAACGGGCAATATTACAATGGATGGAATTCAGTGCTGCATTTCTGCTTGCCAGATGGAACCATCTCTCCTCTCTTTTCCCCCCACAATGTTCTGTGGTTCTGCTTAACCTTCCAGGCTGTTTTGGAGAAGACACAGGAGTGCATGGGGGAGAGAGTGGGTGAGTGCTCTTGCGCTAGTGGGCCTGATTGCATTGGCTTCCACGAGTGCAACAACCTCTGGCCCTTTGTTTCCAGTAATGGTCTGCCAGATGCCTCTAAGAAGCTCACAAGAAGGACACTAAGGCAACATCCTTCCCCTATGGTTTGTCCCCAGCACCTGGTCTATAGAGGCAGATTACCTATGAATATGGTCACCCCATTAACTGTCATATCTAATACTCATTAATTGGTCTATTCATTTCTCAATGTTAACTAAGTTTTAGATCATGGGTGAGGAACCTGTGCCCGTCCAGATGTTGGGTGCAAAGTCCCATAAGCTCCACCCAGCATGGCCAATGGCCAGGAATGATGGGAGTTGTAGTCCAGCAGGTTTCCCATTCCTTGCTTTGGATATTTATATGTGTTTATATGTGTTGCATATTAACAGTGACATATATTATTCCATCTTGGCATTCCTCACTATATTTTAATACTTGGTGAGAGCCAGTATGATGCATTCTAATGGATAGAGTGCTGGACTAGGACTGGGGTGACCCAAGTTCAAACACCCTGGCATGAAACTCACTAAGTGACCCTGGGCCAATCACAATCTCTCAGCCTAGCCTAATCGTCCACAAAGTTGTTGGCGATGCGGTAGTGAGTGGGCTTCCAAAATCACCATCTAGGAGGAAACAAGGAAGCCACCCCACTGTGCTTCCACTTCCACAAGGAAACAGACAAAATCCCAAACATTTACTTTTAAATTTAAAATTTTCCCGGGTGCCAATTTAGCCCCCACCCCCATGACATTTCTGTAATTTTCCAGTTTATATGGAGACCTTAGTGTGCACGGATGTACATGTGTGAGATGAGGGAGTAGAATGGGTGGTGTTGAGCAAGTAGTGGGTATTGTGTGATTTGTGAGGATGCAAGGCAGAATTTGGGTGTGCTGCTTTGGTTTTGGGTTGGGGGAAAATCTTATAGGTGGTGGTGAAGCTGTTGAAGAAGATGATTAAATTCATTACCTTTCACCAGCAGCTACCAGAATGGATTATAGCAGAATAAAAACAGTTAAAACAGATTCCAGTCCCAGGAATAGGATGGGCTCTGAAAATACACGTCTCAGTTGTCTGGCGCCAGGCTAAATAGGTGCATCATCAGCATATCCTGAAAACTGTAAAGTTTTCTCAAGTAGATTGAGAGGGCCCGACAAGAGCCAGGGAGTGGAGCTGAACACCCTCTAAACATTGAAGGGGCCCAGTCCCCTCAAAAAAAAAATGGGGGTCCAAGACTGCCTTGAACCCCAGGAACTGGCACCAATGTAGTGTTGTTACATAGTGTGGTGTGTGTGTGTGTGTGTGTGTGTGTGTGTGTGTGTTTGTGTATCATTGTTTGTTTTACAGTAAGGTAAAGGTAAAGGGACCCCTGACCATTAGGTCCAGTCGTGGCCGACTCTGGGGTTGCAGAGCTCATCTCGCTTTACTGGCCGAGGGAGCCAGCGTACAGCTTCCGGGTCATGTGGCCAGCATGAGTAAGCCGCTTCTGGCGAACCAAAGCAGCGCACGGAAACGCCGTTTACCTTCCCACCGGGGCGGTACCTATTTATCTTCTTGCACTCTGACGTGCTTTCGAATTGCTAGGTTGGCAGGAGCTGGGACTGAGCAACAGGAGGTCACCCCGTTGTGGGGATTCGAACCACCGACCTCCTGATCAGCAAGTCCTAGGCTCTGTGGTTTAACCCACAGTGCCACCCGCATCCCCGCGTACTGTTTTACAGTACATATGTATTATATTTGTTATCTTGTAAGCTGCTTACGTTTTAAGTGCTATATAACTATGGAGGTGGTGATAGAACTTTGCCTAAATTGTTTTGTGATGAATTGCGGTATGAACTGGGACAGTGTGCACAAACAATCCTACTGAGTAACCCAAGTGCATATTTTAGCCTCTGTATCCTTTGCTTAATGGTTATAAAAGCCCTAAGAAATTAGGCTGCAAAGACTCCCCCAAATCTGAGCTACTCCAAATGACTGAATTCAGGTCAGCGGCTTTGCTGCGAGTCGACTTGGCTCTAATTCACAGCCTGGGTGCTTTGCCTAGTGCACTGCCAGGGAGACTGTGTGGACTAAACATTATTGAAAGGGAAGGCGTTTCATTGCATTGCCTGCAGTAGATGGGCTGTCATTTAAAGTTTATGAAAGATGGGGGATTTCATTCCAAATCACATGCTGTAGCTAAACCAAAGCCCACTCATTTTCTTTGTGCTGGCTTAAGATCAGCTTATACCTCAAAAGCACAAACAAGCATATAATATTTTAGTGGAACACTCCAGGAAACCCTCAGTATCTGAAAGGAACATAATGCCTCTTGGTTCACAATCTCCTCATGCATTAAAAGAGATTAGTGTATACTCGCCTTGAATAGGACAGGAGGGGAAAGACTCAGGTGAATTTATTTAATAATTGATAGTGGAAATAGACTCTAATGAAATTTCCATCATCCAGAAACATGAACTCTACTTTATATTTATCGTCCTTTATTTGTCTACTAAATCCATGACTTGGCAGCTTTGCTGAATTCCCTCTTTAAACACCAGGGAGGGAGCCGTCTCCTTGTCCTGTGATGACAGTAAGCTCGAGGAGAAGCTTCTCACATTAACAACGACAATAATGATACAAATCCACCTACGAGGTGCAGTTCTGTACCTTTAAGGAATCATAGAGTTGGAGGGGTGGTGTCAAAGGTCATCTAAGTCTAATCTAAAGTCAGTGGAGGAGCTGCACTAAACAGTAGTGCATCCCTAAACAGGAGCCATCACCAAGCCTTTGCTTAAAAACCTCTACAGAAGAATTGTCTAAGGCAGTCTTTCCCACATTCAGCTTGCACTGTTGGAAAGCTTTCTCCTAATGATTTGCCAAAAAACCCCACTATTTAAATGATCTGAACCCATTGTTTTAAGACCTAGTCTCAGGAGCAACAGAAAACAGCTCTTCAACTATTTGAAAATGCCCATCTTTTCTCCAAGTTAAACATGCCCAACGCCTTCACCCTTTCCTCATAGAGCATGGGACTTGGCTACATTGGCAAAGAAAAAGCACTTTATATGCATTGTTTATGCATTCTAACACTGTGACACCAGATGGCACTGTAGAGTTCCGTTTTTTGCTTAACCTGGTTTCTTGTACAGAGTTTGCAATGCATTTAACTGAAACGCTTCTTTGATGTGTCCAGATCCAGCCCAGGTCTTCGGGCACTCATAATCTTTGTTGTCCTCCTCTGAACATACCCCAGTTTGCTAATACCCCTCTTGAAGTAGGTTGCCCAGAACTGGGCGCAGGGCTCCAGGTGAAGTCTGACCTAAGCAGAATGGTGTGGTGCCATATTCTCCCTCTAACATGAAAACTTCAGCTTCATCTTGTTACTGTCTATGCCTCCCTTAGAGAGACCTCTCTTCCACTTTGAGAGCCATGGCATGTTTCCAATGCTCTGCGTGCCTGGTACAACAGGACTTCCATTCCTCTTCTCCTTCATTTCATTTTCATTTCACTTTTAATTTGTATACTGCCTTTCTACACTATTATACACAAGGCAACTTACAGCAACGTAATAAACAAAGAACACAAACCTTGTAATAATCTGATCCAGTACAAATACAGTAGTCATAATAAAACATAACTTTAAAATGGAACAACTTATATCAAATAAATACTCAAGAATCTATTGGAATATAATAGTACACAATCAAAACATCAGCAAATAATAATTAAACAGAAATTCACTCTTATCAATTACAATAAATAATTACTGAACTGTGATAAAAAAATAACTGCTAGTCACAATACATAAAACACCACAATACATGCAAAACTGCCTTTCCCCATGCACCCCCCAAATCTGTTCTGGAGGGTCCCAAAAAATGGAGCTCATTTTGAGAGTGCATGGCGGGGGGGAACAGGGGTACACACCGTAATCTGCTGCACCAGCAAAGTTGCAGCATTGGATTTAAACAGTTTTCAGTTTCAGCCTAGCTCTTTGCAAGGCTTTTATCTCTGAGCAAGGCAAGAGTTTAGGAATAAGAATCTGCCACTGATTCACCGCTTCTGTGTGCCCAGTTCACATCCCCAGTCCTTTTGGTTCCATATCCATTTCATATCTTTAAGTCATCACTTGTGAGTGGCCTGTGCGATGCGGCCTGCCTGCAGAGAAGGGATGGGGAAGAAATTCGCTTCAGTTTGCATTGAAAGATGGATCTACCTCATTTGCACTTTCCAGAACAACAAGCGGATCATCCTTCGGAAACTCACACTTCTCTGAATCTTGCAACGCAGTTCTCCAGTCAAGCAATGTGTCTGAAAATATATAGTCTAAAGTGGATGTGTAAATGCACATTTGAGCGAAAATAGCATTCAAAATATTCGGGTCATTTCTTTGCAAAAGTGTCTCTATGGGGCAAAATTGCATGCAGAAATGTGGCTATTAAGAGAAATTCACACAAAGAGGCTGATGAATTTTCATGAAAGAGGGTTTTTTAAAACAACAACAAGAATTGCTGTGCAAATGTGGAACTGAACTCAGGATTGGGAGCGCGGGGGGGGGGGAGTGGACAACTGAGAAAATGGCAACTGACCAATTCACATATCCCTGCTACTGAGATCCTCCTCAGAGGTCTTCCTGTGTGCTACAAGGTTATCCCAAAATGTGCCTCATGAGGACTAAGGGGAGGGTCTTTCCAGTGGCTGCACCCAGTCTCTGTCACCTTGTCATCCTTCTTTTGGGCCCTAAATGGTTGTTCCCTTTTAGAAGTGGGTTTAATTGTGTTGGCTAAAGTACTTTTGATGGTTTGTATTTTTAAATATCTATTTCTCTCTGCTGTTTTCTTCTTCTTTGCTGGCTGCTTTATTGTAATTCTTGCTCCCAAGCAGCTTTTTAAAAGACTGAGTTATTGTCTTAGCTTCTGTTTGTTGGCCACCTTGGGCTTCTTGAGGAAAGGCAGGGTATAAATGTTTTAAATAAGCAAAGTACCACGAGCATTTCAATGCCAGGCTGATTGTTTTAATAGTCTGTGAAGCTCCCTAATCCCCCATTTTATATATTTCAATCAACCGTGACATGCCAGGAGCTGTTCCCAACCTTAAAACACTGTGAAGAGCTAGGCTGTCATGTTCACTTACGATTGGTGGTAGATGCAAAGGAAGATTGCAGACATCAGTGGGATTTAGTGATTATATTCATAATAGATATCGCAATTGCAGTACACTGCACTTAAGGCAAAGCTATTATTCTTAAGAGAACAGGACAGCGGAAGACAAAAAACTTGGCCAAGTTTGATTTCAGGTTGATTAAGAAAGGTAACCGGAGAATAAGCAGACACTGGATATGAAAGAGGGCCTCTGATTGGTCTTGTAATTGGCAGTCGCATGGCCACAGCAGTAACAAATGTTTTCTAATTCTTCAAGTAAAAGTTCCATCATTAAGAAGTGACTGTTAATTGAGCCAACACAGCCAAGGAAGAACCAAATTAGAATTAAAGGCATTTAATAAGAGTGCTCCTTTTAACTGGAAGGATAGAGAGAAACACACTTGAAATTACTGTTCTTGCTTGGAAAACCTTATATTTGTAGGTTTATCCAGTGCTTTTTTTTCTTTAAAAAAATTGTTTAGGGGTACTCTCATTTCCCTACTCATATTGAAATACTGCCCCTCAATGAGGCCAAACTTAGATTCACAAAATGTTTAGGGGTATGCGTACCCCTGCGTCCCTCCAGAAAAAAACCACTGGTTTTATCTGGTCTTAATGAAAAGTAAAAACGTAAAAAAGAATATTTTAATTGCATTTGTAAAATAGTTTAATTTACAGGTGACTATGGGGGCTATTGATACTTTACTACTAATTGACAGCTCCTAGGCTAGCAACCTGGTGCTAGCCATATCTGGTGATATGTCAGAACACAGGAAGACAGGAAGCAGCTTTATACTGAATCAGTATGTTAGTTGATCTAGTTCATCACTGTTCACACTGACTGTTAGCAGCCAGGGATTGAAAGCGGGACCTTCCTCATGCAAACCAGATGCTCTGCCACTGAGCTACTGCCCTTAACCAAACATGAACTGGAGTCCAATGGCCAGGCCTTACATCAGCCCTTGGCACACTGGGATGGCTGACTGGGTCCCAGCTCCCAGACAGGGCCCAGTGGCACTGACACATCATAGAATTATAGAGTTAGAAAGGAACACAGAGAGGCATCTAGTCCAAGCCCCTGCAATGCAGGAAGCTTTTGCCCAACCAGGGGCTCAGGCCCACGACCCTGAGATTATGGGTCCCACAGACCCTCCAAGTGTCCCTGTTTTTCAGGGACATCCCTGATTTAAATCAGTTTCTGATTTAAAACTGGAATGTCCCATTTTTCCTTAGGATGTCCCTATTTTTGTTGGAGAAATGTTGGAGGGTATGGAGTTATCGGCCCCCCCCCAGCCATCTGAAGGCAACCCTGTATAGCGAAGGTTTTTTTAAAAAAAAATGTTTAATGTTTTATTATGTTTTCATATACAGTGGTACCTCAGGTTACAGACACTTTAGGTTAAAGACGCTTCAGGTTACAGACTTTGCTAACCCAGAAATATTACCTCAGGTTAAGAACTTTGCTTCAGGATGAGAACAGAAATTGTGCGGCGGCAGCAGCAGGAGGCCCCATTCGCTAAAGTGGTACCTCAGGTTAAGAACAGTTTCAGGTTAAAAACAGACCTCCAGAACGAATTAAGTTCTTAACCTGAGATACCACTGTATGTTGGAAGTTGCCCAGAGTGGCTGGGGCAACCCAGTAAGCTGTTTAGGGTATAAATAGTAAAATTATCATTATGGGTGGAATGGGACATCCCTACTTTCATCAGAGAAATGTTGGAGGGTATGGTCTCATGCTCTCCCGACTGAGCTATCAGGGGTTACATCCTTGGGTAACAAACTAATTCAAAACGAAGGCAAACAAATGTTCTGATAGAGGATCAGCTGAAAAGAATATGCATGAATACATCTGATACAGGAGGGGAAAGTTGTGGGTGAAACTTAAGAGGTTGTTTTGGAAATGAAGGGCAAGGGAAGTGCAGAGCTTTGCTTGAAAGGAGAGCCAGAGCTCTCAGAAACTTTCTGACCCTTTGAGCATGAGGAGCAGGGAAGGGGCACAAGGTTCTCGCACAGAGAGGATGACAAGACAAAGTCAACAGCTAAGCTGGGAAGCCGTTACTTCCAAGAGGTTGGCAAAGGTGATGTCACTGTGAAAGCAGATCAATAGAGAGACGTGCCTTGCCGTGATTGCAGGAGAATTAGGAACTGGAAACATATGCAAAGGGAAAAGAAACAGGAAAAAACACACACCACCTACTGCCTTAATATGCAATCAGAAAAAAAATAATACTCCTTGGAGTAACCGATGAAAAGCAGGATTTTCTATTTCAAGAGTGTATCTCTTCCAAATAGGAGGGAAACTTGATGGGCTTGAAGGTTTTGCCAAATTGAAATAGAATTGGGTGCATCCTGAAATGTGCCCTGGAATCGTTGATTTGTTCGCTTTCGTGCTTGTCTGCTTGCTGAGACTTGTGACCTGCTTTCCCTGCTGTTCAGAGTATCTCTCAGAAACTAAATTAAGGAAAACAACAAAAGGGAGATGAGAGTATGAAACTGTCTTATATTGGGTCAGACCACTGCTCTGTCTAGCCCGGTGCATTCTATTTCAGCTTTTCCCAACCCTGATCCCTGTTGATGCTGTTGCATGACCACACACCGTCATCCCTGATCATTAGCCATGATGGGAGCTGTGGCCCAATAACATCTAGAGGGCACCCAGATGAGGAAGGCTGTTCTACTCTGAATGCCTCCTTCAGGGCTTCAGGCAGAGGTCTTTATCTGAGTTTCTACATCTACAGGGTTTATTAATTCGTTAAGGAAACTTACACCCTTCCTTTCCACAATATAGCACTCAAGGTGGTATCCAAAATACCATGGCACTTCAATCCCTAACAAAGCAATAAAAAACACTCAGGCTGGAGAGTGTTGGGTGGAGGTGTCTAAGCTGTGGGACTAAGCCAGGGTTTCCCAAACTTGGGTCTCCAGCTGCTTTGTGGACTACAGTTCCCATCATCCCTGACCACTGGTCCTGCTAGCTAAGGATGATGGGAGTTGTAGTCTACAACAGCTGGAGACCCAAGTGGGAAACTCTGAACTAAGCTGATCTGCCACTAGCCTCTGACAATGGAGGGCGCGAGCATCATATGGAGCTTTGCCTTCTTCCCATCAAACATGCCATTGGCAGAAGGCCTCAAGACAGGGAGGTGGGGAGATTAAAGCAGTTGAGAATCCCCCACCAGTCCCACTGCCATTATATGATGACATCCTTCCTGAGGATTCCCATCGCTGAATACCAGTTGCTGGAAATCTCAGGAGGGCAGTGTACTGTTGCGTTCATGTCCAGCTTGCAAACTTTCCACAGGCATCTGGTTGGCCACTGTGAGAATGGGATGCTAGACTAGATGGGGTATGGGCCTGATCCAGCAGACTCTTCTTACATTCTTAGGATTGCTCTACCCATTATCCTCCTTCGCTCCTGCTGTGAAAAGTCCCTCCTTGCCATTCTTCTGCTTCCTTTCTCCCCTCCCTTTGGAGCTTCTCTTTCCCTTTGCTGCCTCTGTTTGCTCTGTAAGGGGGCAGGTCCAGACCAACACATTCTCTCGCTCTTATCCTGAGGCCAGATGGATGTGCAGTAGCTGTTGAAGCATATAAGTATGCCAGTGCTCTTTCCCCTTCATTGCTCCTTGGTATTTGCAGAAATGCCATTTTGGTAGTAAATGCATTGTTTGGGGAATGAGCGCTTAGGACAATAACACATTCATTCACACACGACAAATAGCCGCGTCAGGGTTTCAGCCAGAGTATTTGTTATGCACATTGCCTTAGTCATTATTGGCTGTTTATCGTACTTCCTTCGTACTTCAGACTCAGAAGTGTATTCCTCTGATAAATGAATGAACACAACCCAATGTGACATCCCGGAACACTGCAAATCATGAATCGCAAATAGCAGAAATGGAGCAGTTTAGAGATAAACCTTCAGCTGAAGACAGAATTTTCCTCCCCCTTCCCCCTCTCTTCTCCACAAATAGTTTGCCTGTGCTCATGTTTAAGAGGAGCATCAACCAAAATCAAGGTCACTTCATGTAAATCAATAGGGTTAACTTCTAAGCGAACATGGTTAGGATTAGGATTATAAAGCAGTTAACAGTTAGGTGTGTGCAAAAAATAAATAAAAATGCAGTTATACCATTGAAAAGAGGAGGTTTCAGGTAAATAGCACTCAGGCTGCAGTCCTACCTGGGAATAATAAGCCCCACTGAATTCTAGGTATATATGGATAGGATTTCACTGTCAGGGTGGTAGATTAAGCAGTAGGGCTAAACTGAAATGTCTCCGAAAAGATTTTTCTAGCTATCTTTTTGAAAAAGAAATGCTTGCCTCGCCCTGCCCTGCCAGAGAATCTCAGTCCTCTTGAGAACATTTTGCAACATGGGCCTCCCCAGTTTCACTGCACACGAGTCTGGGGGCACAATTGTGGATCCACTTTTAATACTGTTTAATTTTATAGGGAGAGATTCGCCTGACAAGCCTCAAGTCTAGGACACTTGCACAATGGGTCTTTCCCCTTCTCCTCCCCCTGTGTCCGTCCTTTTCCCCACCCCCAAAAAAATGGCTCTAAAGGATTGGGAGAAGCCCCCAAAATAGTGCACAGGTGGAGGGGAGGAGGAATCATTCCATCTAGCAAGCTGATATGCTTGTAGAGACAGAATGTTCAACGTAGTTCAACGATGAATTCCACCCATTGAAAGATTGCCCATTCCTCCCTTCATTTATCAATATGAAATAGCAATAGAGTTTAATTCAACATTAAGTGAGCCAAAAAGAAAAAGAAAAAGGATTTTCTAAGGAATACAATTGGAGAATTTCACCTCCCGCATTCCAAGAAAAAAATGGCAACATGTGTCATCCTGAAGAGTGTGGACAATTTGGAGAGACCCTTTTCAGTCAGAATGATTAAACACCTGCCATTGATCTTAAATGATGGAGTAAGAACATTGCTTTCCCTCCACTGAAGTCAGTGGGACTTAGAAGTGTTTATCTTTGGCTCATGGACACAGTTTTCTTTTTTAAGTTGATTGAAAGCTATTCAAAAGCTCACCTTGGATTTGGATGATATCCAACGTCAGTCAGTCTCAAAGTAATATCCACTGAAATCAATTGACTTAAATAAATCCATTGACTTCAGTGGATCTACTCTGAATATAGCCTTTAGTTTTGAAAACAATAGGAGTTGTGGAATTATTCTTGGCTAGGAGTTACACCCCTTGTCCTTGCAACTCTGGATGTGTGATGGATGCCTGACTTGGCTGGGGATGGGAGGGCAATCGTCTTCCTCCCCAGAGATCCAATCTGCTCTCCAACCAGCCTGGTTGCACAGAAAATATAGTCCCTGTTAACGTATGAGTCAGCTTCGGGTGAGCAATGCTGATGTCTTAAACAGATTCCTGAAAACAACTTGATGAAGAAGAAAAGTGACTAAAATAACACCCTGAATCTGTCTCTCCAATTGTTCCTGCTGAGACTTTGACCGGGTTACATAAACCATATCAAGCACTGGATGTAGCCCTGGAAAATATCGACCCCATAGGATAAGTAAAGGTAAAGGTAAAGGTAAAGGTAAAGGGACCCCTGACCATTAGGTCCAGTCGTGGCTGACTCTGGGGTTGCGGCGCTCATCTCGCTTTACTGGCTGAGGGAGCTGGCGTACAGTTTCCGGGTCATGTGGCCAGCATGACTAAGCCGCTTCTGGCAAACCAGAGCAGCGCACGGAAATGCCGTTTACCTTCCCGCTAGAGTGGTACCTATTTATCTACTTGCACTTTGACGTGCTTTCGAACTGCTAGGTTGGCAGGAGCAGGGACCGAGCAACGGGAGCTCACCCCGTCACGGGGACTCAAACTGCCAACCTTCTGATCGGCAAGTCCTAGGCTCTGTGGTTTAACCCACAGCACCACCCACGTCCTTCATAGGATAAGTAGATTCCATCAAACATCCTATTTGATTCATGGATTTCCCATGCACGGAAATCCTTCTTTGTTTTTAATGTATAGACAACTTTTGGGGAGATGCCCCCAAAGCAGGGTAAAATAAAATAAAATAAAATAATGAATTAACAACAACAACTCAAAGAAACAGCAGCAAGCACAGGACTACAAAAGAGCCAGATTTTTATAAAATCTACTGCAGGTTTCAGGGGTACAAATTGAAATGCCTGCCTAAAATGGGAGGTTTTTATGAGTCTCTGTGGGGGTGGGGCGATGGAAAGAAATGGGGCCTTGCAAGGCTCACAAGGAAGAGTGGTCCAACTTCAGATACTGCCAGAAAGCATTCAGCTAAGTTCATTGGGCATTGCTCTCATGCAGTGCATGAACTGATTCCCCTGAAAAGCATTGCACTTGAGATGATGTGCTGAGGCATGGAAGTTATATCTGTGATGTTCTTATCTGTGATGGTCCATTCACACACAAACACAAGCACTTCCAGATACTGTAGGCATTAAGTGGTGAAAGTGCATGTGTGAATGAATCAGCTCCAAGTGTGCAGTCAAGATGTACACGTAAGCCAACCCTCTATGTGCCCTTTCCTGAGCTATGCTAACTACAATTCACCATGTGCCATTGATGCTGAATTGCATAAGAATGTCTTTAAGAACCAAGCCACATTTTCTCAAGCTACAGGAATGATTAACCAACCATTAAGTGCTTTTTAATTCTGTGCTGCCGTGGAACCTGGGGCGAAGCTGTTATATGATTCTTCTGGAGAGTCAGTTGCAACTTGCATTGAAGTCGCTTCAAAGCATTTGAGAACCTTTGTAAATTATTCACCGAAAGAAGGAACTGCCAAAGAATGTCCAAGCCAGCTTGGCCATTAAGGCAAATTCCAGCAGCCTTCACCTTGTCAACCGAATCCCTGGAGTCATATATTTTTAATGGCAGTGTAAAATTCCTTTATATAAAGGGTCAGGGCAGCAAAGGACAAGGCCAGTCATCTTATTTACAACTAACATGTTTAGTGTAATGAAAGATGTTTCTCTCATTGAACAACGACAATGACAAAAACCCTTCCTTGGGTGGAGCTTAGATCAATGCAGGGCAAACAGATGCCTTGCCCCGCCAAGGAAGAAACGCCACTAGTATCATAATCATTATCACTACTTACCCAGGGTTGGGCAAGTTATGGTGCTACAATGCTGCTGGACTCCACAGCGTCCATCAGTCCCAGCCAACATGCAAGATCCAGGAAGCCACAAGGTTCCCCATCCTTGCTGTAGTGTTAAGAAATGTAGGCTATTCGTTGTGCATAGAATGAGAACACCAAAGACGACTTCCCCTCCCAAAGTGCAAGATTCGGAAAAGAATGAAGATTTCAAAACGGGGGGCAAAGAGGGGAGGAGAGACTCAGGATCATGTTCTGCCCAATGAGATAGATGATAGATAGATGGCAGACAGACAGACAGACAGATGATAGATAGATAGATAGATAGATAGATAGATAGATAGATGATAGATAGATGATAGATAGATAGATAGATAGATAGATAGATAGATAGATATGATAGATATAGATAGATAGATAGATAGATAGATAGATAGATAGATAATAAGTCTACTTTTCACATGCAGGACATAAGTGAGTAGCAGCTCACAGCACAAACAGAACAAAAAAGGCACAAGAAATATTTCATTCAAACAAAGAGAAAAGGTCAATGCTTTCTGAATTCCCTGCTACCTTCTTCACAGACCTTTTGCTTTATGTATATGCTGTTGTGATATTGATGGAAATTATATTGATGGAAATAAATTTTCAATCCTTGGTTGGTATTGTGAACTCAAAAGTTGTTGCTAGAAAAGCATCAGATAAAAATACCAGCAGCAGACAAAACCATTTGCGTTAAACAGTTTCATGAATCCCTGATCCCAGTGTGGAAACAGTGGGTGAGGAGATTAAGCATGAGTGCTGAGGACCAAAGTAATGGAGTCCTCACTTATTTTGCTATAGCTTACGTTGATGTTGCTGGAGTGGGACAGGGCAGAAGTGGAGGAGGGTTTTTAAAAATTTAAATATGGGGAAGTATTCAGCCATGCAATTGCCCACATGCAGTCTAAAGTGGTACAATCCAATAACCATTTTACCATTTTGTGTTCTGTATGTGTAGAAGTTGCCCACTCTGGGTCGATGAAGTAGGAAGAACACTAAACCCTTTCATGCTCTCATTTATGGTGTAACTAGGTCAAGCCCATGATCTTGGCATTAGTGAAATTGGTGCTACGGTGACCGGGAACAGCGACGCTTCCATTAAAATACAATAGTAGTCCAACCTGAGCAGCAGTTGCATTGCATAATGTGGTTAGATGTGTGCTTAATCAGCATTGACACTTTGATGGAGAGGCAGATGGAAATAGCCATTGACCTGCTATTAATACTGGAGCTGGAGATAAAAATGATCTTTTAGCTTTATACAAGAAGAACATGACATTTTGAGAGAGGGAGACATTAACTTCACAATGGGATTTAGGAGGTTTCCAGACAGATGCGCCATGGTGGGAACTAAGATCCCAGTGATTCCAGCAGCTAGATCCCCAAAAGCTGGGAGCAACTTATTGTAAGCTCCATGGAACGTTTATCAAATATTTTATGTTGCTATCTGCCAAGCCCAATAGCTTAGTAATCCATGTGATTACATCATGGCGGCAGTGCAGCTGAGCTGTGAACCAGAAAATCTGCGCTGTGAACCAGTTCAAATCCCTTCTCTGCCATGAACCTGCTTTAGGCAAGCTGCAGGGGCTGCAATATGGGGATAGCAGTACTGACCTCTCTTCCAGGGTTGTTGCAGGGTTTACTGAGATAATGGATGCAAATACCTGGAATGCTCTAAAGTGCAAGATACTGCTGGTATTTAACATCACTGCTGCTAGTATTCATGCTCTTTCTGTTCCCGCTTCTTCAAATATACAAGGAAGAGGCCAAGGAGAAGGAAAGAAAAACAAAAGACATGCCCCTCCTTTAGACAACACCGGGATGGGTGCAGGGATCAGAGAAAATGGAGTGGAGAAAAGGGATGGAAGGATAATAAGAATAATAAGAATAATTACTTATACCCCGCCCATCTGTCTGGGTTTCCCCAGTCACTCTGGGAGGCTTCCAACAGAATATTCAAAACACGATAAAACATCAGTCATTAAAAACGTCCCTAAACAGGTCTGCCTTCAGATATCTTCTAAAAGTCAGGTAGTTGTATATTTCCTTGACATCTGATGGGAGGGTGCTACTACCGAGAAGGCCCTCTGCCTGGTTCCCTGTTACCTCACTTCTCACGGTGAGGGAACTGCCAGAAGGCTCTTAGCACTGGACCTCAGTGTCTAGGCTGAACAATGGGAGTGGAGACACTCCTTCAGGCCTACAGTTTAGAGCTTTAAAGGGCAGCACCAACACTTTGAATTGTGCTCAGAAATGTACTGGGAGCCAATGCAGGTCTTTCAGGACCGGTGTTATATGGTCTCGGCGGCCACTCCCAGTCACCAGTCTAGCTGCCGCATTCTGGATCCATCAATACTGGTACTCTCAGTTTCTCACTTTTCCAATCTTAAATTTTCCAGTCTTAAATTCTCCACATTTCTGCAGCAAATTATTTTTTACTTGAAAAAGGTTCTCATGAAAACTAGAAGGGAGCCACTTTTGTCTGCCTTGCAAGACATGGGACTGTAGTGCCATATGGATGGTAGCATATAGGATTGTTCCTTTGCGGGTGTCTTCCTAAGCCATCAAACAAAACTGCACACAGAAGCCTGGTTTTGCATGCTTCTCTCTTGCTCGATTGGAACATTTAGGGGCATCACGATCCATTTATTTGTATACTGCTTTTCATTCCAAAGGGCCCCCACATGGTGGACAGCATGTTAAAACAAAATAGAAACAGAGTACAATTGAAATGCCATAAATCATTCAACAAGTTAAGCAATATATATTTATTTTTTTAAAAAAATGATATTTATTCCAAATTTAAAATCACAGAAAAAAAGAAAAACCATACAGAATACAAAGAACACTTCGACCATAACAGAGCAAAAAATAAACAAGTAAAAAGAACAACAAGATAGAATAAAAAAAAAAACTTAACAAAAAAATATAAAAATGTATTAAGTTAAAAACAAAACAAAAACAGATTAAACCTTTACATATCCTTTTCCCTTTACTTATTTCCAATGACCTCCTCTCACCTCCCAATTTTGTATTCTTATTCAGATCGTATTTCCAGCAAATCCCTCTAATCTTATTTTCATTTACATATTTTAAAATTGAAATAATATAATTAAACCTCCTCTATTTCATCAAATTCATCAACTCATTTTTGCTGACCATTATATCATATCTACCAAAACGACCTGATATTTCTTTTTCCAACCTCCTTCTAACATTCTTTTATATTGCAATACTTTTGAAGATATATTTTGAATTTTTTCCAGTCTTCTTCCATCGACCCTTCTCCCTGGTCTTGAATTCTGCCGGTCATCTCAGCCAGTTCCATATAGTCCATCACTTTCATCTGCCATTCTTCTCTGGTGGGCAATTCTTGTGTCTTCCAGTACTTCCCGATGAGTATTCTTGCTGCTGTTGTAGCATACATAAAGAAAGTTCTATCCTCCCTTCGCACCAATTGGCCGACCATGCCCAGAAGAAAGGCCTCTGGTTTCTTCAGAAAGGTATACTTAAATACCTTTTTCAGTTCATTATATATCATTTCCCAGAAAGCTTCAAGTTAAGCAATATAAAGCAGCAAAGTCACAGCACTGGAGGCCAAGATCCTGCACCTTAAGGAGATTTGGGGCTGCATCAGATCTGGAATAATTAGATACTTTTAGGTTCCAGATCTGAAATAATTAAAGCCCTCCTACTAAAAGAAAATCCAGTGCCAGACTATTTGAGCCTCTTTGAAACCAAAGAGTTGCCCAGCTTCCTTGAACATCTATGTGGTGTCCATTTTATTCTGAGATGGAAAGCTCTATGAATTTAGGTACATCATTCACCAGACATTATGTAAGTTGCACTGCAAGATGACATATCATAATTGATAGCTTGACAGCTGATTCCCCTCATTTTCAGTGTCTTGATATATAATGTACATACTGCAATGCATTTCAACTACTGTGTACATCATCACAGTCAATCATCCTGAAACAGCACCTTGGCACGAGTTCCTTTCCGTAATCTTCTAAGTGGGATAACTTGACTTTGGTATAGGAAATGTTTTCTGCCACAGTAGTTTGAATTCTGCTAGTTGAAATGGCTGAAGAAATCCACCAGGATTACAAATATCTTAAGATCTCTGTGAAGAAGGGGAAATTATGGTAGAATGATTATAATAAGATAGAAATTACTCCAGCTGTGTATTGAGCTTTAGACTGAGTTTAACTCTTTATGATGGGGAGGGGCACAGTAGAGAAGGTGGAGACATTTCACAGGAAATGTAAATTTTGACGTAATCCAATGACTTGGATTACTTAGAAGATGCTTCTGGAGAATGCCTACCTTCTTGGTGTTAATTAATAACCAATTAATTAACCATATATGCTTGCATTATATATGGTCATGGTTCAGGGACTTAATTTCGCTTTTGTACTTACGGCTGCTGTGGGGAAATTCCCTTTATGGTGTTATTATGGAGAGGACGTCTGGCAGGAGCCACTATAGTTTGCCTGTATAGTAGGCTGCTTAGCTCAAACTACTGTGGTTTGAGCCACAGCAACAGCAATAACAAATTTCTTGCAATAGCACTACACTCACTGCTTAGAGTGAAGTCCGAATGAACAGATAATTCCAGGGCCTGTGCGGAGTTCTAGCTAAGCAGAGCTTCTCTGTAACATGTAGCTAATCTCTAGTCTATCATTCCTAATCTGCATGGGCTTCAGAGAGCATGATTTACATTAGTCTGATTTACGGTGGGAGTGGGGGAGTCTGACCTCCAGGTTAGAGAGCCTGGATTTTCATCCTCCCTTATATATTCAGCACAAATGGGAATTCTAGTCATGGTAAGGAAGCCTCTTGGAGGACTGCTCCAACTCCAGAGCTGCCAGTGGTAGTTTTCTCTGGAAGCCCATGTCCTCCTTAGTGGGACTCCTAATTGACCAGAACTCAGGGCTGAGTCACTTTTATATAGCAGTAGCTCTTTGCTGAGTCCTATCCATTGTGGACATGGCTTGGTTTGGCCTTCTTGTCATTCAAGCCACCATCTCGCCAAGCCACCATCTTGTGTCCTTCAAAGCCAGAATCAGGACCAGTGAAGCATCAATGGTTGTCAACTATTTTCCAGGTTTCTGAATTTTGTCTACACTGGGAAGTAGAGGCAGAGAAGTTCCTTTGGGTGGATTTACAGGGATTCTATTGAAAATGAAACTTTTGTTGCAGCACATTTTATTTCTAGTAATCTAGGAGGGAACAAAATGAATCAAAACTTTCTTTGGTGTTGCTGTGATGCTTGATACATTCATACTCTGGGGGAAGGGGGAGTCTTTGTTCATTGATTTGCTGTTGGCTGAAAAGCCATTCATTTGAGGTAAGTTCAATAGTCATGCTGTCTCTTTGAAAAATTGTGGCTTTGCAGAGAGGAAACTATATGCTGCAAATCACATTCATTATCAAAACAAAGAAGAAATGGGATGGAAATCATCAACTCTTTCCCTTTCACATGCATGGAAGCCTTTTGCTCCTTCATCAGCGTAACATGTGTTGCACTTTCTTGGAAATTTCCTATAAAGAAAATGGCTCCCAGGCAGAGATGGGACTAATGAATCAGTAGCACACAGCAGTTTCATTCAAGACTGATGTGAAGGAAAAGGCAAGGATAGTTTAGCCTTAAGCAGATCTCCTGGAAACTGGAAACCCTTCTTGCACTCATTAGCGGAAGTTGACCTGGTGACTTTACCTTGTTTGTGTCCATCAGGGAAGATGACTGACACAGAAGACAATCTAAGCTAAAAAGATCTGATGAGAGGGGGAGGGAGCTACATAGTTCTGCCCTTGGTAGACTTGCTTTTTCCCTCTCTAGATTTTGACTGTATTTTCAGTCTCCAGCCAAAAGCAGTTATAGGTACCAGACACCCAGTTTCCATTGGGGAATAACTTCTTGGAAGCCGTCAGAGATAGTTCAGTGACTTTCCCAATATCATTGGTTGCTGCAAGCACAGAAAGAAACTTTCTTTAGAAATAGGGTTTGAAGTTATATATCTGAGTGCTCTGTGTATCAGAAACAAAAACAAACCACCTCTCTATATCTGTAGAAGGCTAAGAAGCCAGCAAAAAGGCTAGACTTGAGCCCTTCTCCCAGACTGCATTTCCACATTCAGAGTGGCTTTTACACGTGGAAACATTCAAATGTGTAACCTCCCCTCCCCCATCCCTGACCCTGTGTTCTGAAGCTGTACAGCTTAGGTGGCCTCTCTGAATATTTGAATTGGCACTGAGGTTTCTAGATTAAGCAGAACCTCAGTAAAAGTCTGGCACCAACCTTTGGAAATAACATTTAAGAAGCACTTTTATTTCATTACGATCTTGCTACAGAAAGGCTAGACAAAATTCTACACCTTTCATTGCACAGAAATCTCATCCATGTTGCTGAAACATAAGAGAATTTAAGAATCTTAGAATATGTAAGAGAGACTCTGGATAACTTTTTCATTCCGAAAAAGGAGCACTCCTGTGAAAAATCAATAATTGAATCTTCAAGCTCAGAGAACAAACCCATAACACAGTATTTTTATTTTGGTTAAGCAATTGTATTTGGTCCTATTCTTTGAGACAAAATGTTCTTTTTCCCCCTTTTGTAAAGAGGTATTTCTACCTAACATTCCTGGTTTTGCTCAGGAACCTTTTGCTGCCTTCCATAAGGGATCTTCCAATTCCCCCACAAGCTACAAAATATTATGTCCTTTGTTGGAATGTTCATCGACTGACAAGATGCGACCACCATCATTCATGCCAAATAGTAACTTTTTGCATAGCTTCAGTGATAACTAATGATAGTGCAGAGTGGAGTGGCACTTAAAGGAGCAAGTGCTACACAATCCAGAGCAAGGAAGAATCATTCGTCTTCGTTTCAAGGCATCCATTTTTCTTTTTGTAATAGTTTCTTAACAGCAAATGAACATTAGTGCTCCTCACCTTCAGAACTCTTTGCATTCAGTTTGGACTTTATCAACCTAATCTATTTTGACTCACCCCATTCAGCACTTTTGAAAGATGCATATCGGGGATGAGGAACCTGTGGTCCTCCATATGGGTTACAACCTCCATCACCTCTGACCATTGGCCATACTCATTAGGGTCAGTGGCAGTCCAGCAATATCTGGAGGGCACAGGTTCCCTACTTGTGGCATACAGGCCTGGACCTTTAGGGAAGAAATATGTGCAGTTGTCTGTAGGGTAGCAACCAGGAATGTCTCTCTCTGCGACTTTACAGTTCATATTTGGCACACAGGTTTCACTGGTAAGAAGGTGTTTTATCCTGAAGGTCGTGATTAGATCTAGGGTAGAATGTGGCCTCTGAGGGGTATAAGACATTTATGGCTTCGTGAGTCAGAAATGTTTTATTTACTTATAAAAGCCTTTCTAAACCACCTATTCATTTACTTATAAGAGCATTTCTAAACCACATTGGTCACAAGAAAGGCTACCTTCTTCTCACATACAGCTGGAGGAGGAAGTTGGGAAAATGATGCTCTTTCCCATTTTCTTTTTCAGTTTTTAGATTATTTTTAAAATTCAGATTAATTATTCTGGATCTAACCGAGATCTCTTGGGAAAGTGAAGGGTGTGTTCCCTTTTATCCTCTGGGTGAGAGGAAAAGAATTGACTAGATAGAGTGACCCAAAAAACTCACACAACTAGCTGTAAACTTCATGTATGTAGGAACAAACAGTTTAGTTTAGTTTCTGTTTTTCTGTTTGTTTGTTTGTTTGTTTGTTTGTTTGTTTGTTTTTTTGCCTTCCTTCTGTTGTATCCAGAAATGCCTGCTGATATTAACTGTTTAGAGGCTTTTCTCCTCTCTCACCCAATGGGCTTAATTAAAGTCTGTTGCTTATTCCAACAATAATGTACTGTGGACTCATCTCAAGGACTTGGGGGATTTCTCATGTTACCCAAGTGGTGTTAGAAGCAGCTCCACTGTAGAAGTTCCCACACTGTAAACATGCTGTGAGAAGAGACCTACGGATTAGGAGAAAAAGAGTGTGAAGGTACTTAGTTGGACGCGAGGAATCAAAGCCACAGCTTCCATAGCAACAGATCAAAAAATAAATATAAACCTTTCAGTTCAATTTAAGCAGGAGGTCACATCAGCTCACTCAGTTCTCCATCTGAAGAAGGCTCCATGATGCTCCATGCTGTAGCAGTTCCTGTTTAGCAATGTTGGTGGTTTCCTTCACATAGCTGGTTGTGAACCTGCATGCTTCTGATCCCCCAGGATATTGTCTTATGTTTTTCATCCTGTGCTTCCTCTTATTCATGGAAGGATATTTCTTTGTGTCTAGCAAAGCTGATCACCTCTGGCATTTAAGAGATGCAAAGCGAAAGGGACAGTGGATAAGATGAAAAAGAGCCAGGCTGCTTAAGAGGAGCATAGAATGCACTGGTGACCTGAGCTGCCTTAAGATACACAATCCCAGACTTCAAAAATGCATATTTTATGGTCGATTTGTGGAAGGAGAATGTGGAGGAGAGCAGTTCTGGGACTTTTTCAGAGCAGGAGCAATGATGTCCTCTGCCCAAGTGCTCCACTGCAATGATTTGGGTGTGACCAGTAATCATCATATTTCCTGATTTGTATTATAATACACACTGTTAGCTTTGACCTATATTTAACTTGCATTTTAACCTCTGTGTGTTTTATAGGCTGTGCTTTGTAAGCCTTTTCTACAGAGGCAACTTCCCGTATGAGCTCTACAGGTGCCAACGTAGATAACTATTTCATTTGTGTGAGCTGCTGCAGATGTGATGTGCAACTAGGCCAACATTTGATACTAAATATTTCTCAACATTCTGGCTCGTTCTTGAGGTTGGGCAGGCGTCCTACTTTCCTGGAGACAATCCTCTATTTGAAGGAGTTCTTTCTTTGAAGGGTTGTCCAGTTCCAAGTGCAGCTTCAAGATCAAAATCAGTAAGAAAGGAAACCCTGGGCGTTGAACCAACCCATCAATAGCACCAGGGCAGCAGACTCAGCAGGCACAGAGGTTACCTGGTCACTGTCTGTGGTGAGATGTATTGCATTTCTATGTAAAGGATATAGTTTACATCCACAACCTAAATTAACATATGGAAATATTATGCAAATTGGTGTCATCTTTCATCCTCATTTTTCATAGAATCATAGAGTTGGAAGAGAACCCAAGAGTCATCATGTCCAACCCCCAGGAATGCAGGAATCTCAGCTAAAACATCCATGGCAGTTGACTGTCCAACCTTTGCTTAAAAACCTCCACAACCTCCCGAGGGAGACTGTTCCACTGTCAAACTGTCAGAAAGTTTTTTCCAGATGTTTCATTGGAATCTCCTTTCTTGTAACTTGAAGCCATTGGTTCAGGTTCTACCCTCCAGAGCAGGAGAAAACAAGCTTATTTTTGGTGATTTGGAAGAAGCCATCCTATCATGCTAGTTCATTCTATGGTGCCATTAAGTAGTATTACTGTTAAGTTGTGGCTGAACGTATCAGATGACACAGAGATTCTTCAAACAGCTCATGTTTATTCACAGGCCAGAACAGAACTGAACTGAAGGGTTCAGCCAGCCTGCTTATATAGAGCTCCACTAGAACGCAACAGTAACCATTTTCTGTAACTATCCAATCACTGAACGTCACTTTCAATCCCTTATTTGCATATGTGGACCTGAGTGAAAACTATCTACAGTATCCCCCTGCTGGCCCAGGGTGAGAACTTCAGTACATAACAATTACTCCAGGGACTTACCTGCACTGGCAAAGAAAAAGCGCTTTATATGCGTTGCATATTCATTATAACACTGTGACACCAGATGGCACTGTGGAGTTCCGTTTTACAAAGTTTACAATGCGTTTAACTGAAATGCTTCTTTGATGTGTCTAGAACCAGCCCAACTTAACTGCAGTGGGGGGGGGGTAGCTTTCTTATATAATATTTAAAATTTTCTTAATAAAATATCCTTTTAGGTGTGGCGACTTGTCGTAGATGTGAGACATTTATAAATAATTTTGTGTGCCAGTTTATAACTACTGTCCTTACATCCGTTGATGTAATGTACCTTTCAATAATTCACACAAATCTATGATGTATCACAATAACCATTTCTATTCATCACTAATTAATTAGCTGTAAAATATTTAGAAAAGCTTCTTTCATTTAAGTACTACCAGGGTTGCAAGCCATGTTCCAACACCACATGGCAATATGTTAATTTTTTGAGGGGGAGAGGGTAAAAAAATGCACCATAAAACCAAACAGTTTATCGCTGCTTTTTCTATGCGATTTGACATTCTTTTATTTAGGTTGTGCTGGAAGTCTCACAAGCACAATGGCCAAGATTGAAAGAACTCCCTTAGGAGTAGCAAAGAAGTACCTTGTTAGTGATCTTGAACTTTTGGGAAAGATAATATAATTTAATTTTTAAAACAAACAAACCACCAAGCAAGCAAGCAAACAAACAAACAAACAAATATCCAAGGGCTAAGTCCTCCTTGGACCTCCAAATGCCCTCCAGATGGGAACAATTCCCATCAACCCTGACCATGCTTTTTGAGGTTGATGGGACTTGGAGTCCAAACATATATGGAAGGCAACAAGTCAGCTATGCGTGGGCTCTAAGGAATGCCCAATGATGGTGGTGATGATGATGATTTAAAAAAACCCTTTTCATAATTTATTTTCCCACACCATGTCACAAACCAAATTCACGAATACCCCCTCAGTTTCAAGAGAAGATTTCCCCCTGTGGTTTGATCCAATGTCTGATAAAGCAGTCACAGCCTTCTCCATTATTCCCATTGTCTCTGGGTCCAGAGGCATCCAGGGAAATGAAGATGGTGGTAGTTGCTGCTGCCGCTTAATCCTGTGCTGTGAAGAGTGATGCTGGGAATTCCCATCAGATCTCTGAAGACGTCAGGGCAGAGCCCTTCAGTGTTGTACTACAGCTCCCACCATCCCTGTCCATTGGCAATGCTGCTGGGGTTCTTGGGAGCAGGAATCCAGCAATAGCTGGAGGCCCACCTGTTGGGTAAGCCTGCCTTCGGGCCTTAAAAGTCAGAACTTGACTGGGAGCCAGCCTAGCTCTCTGACCACAGGTGTAATAACCTCTTTGTCACCAGACCTTGTCAATTCATCCACTGGACCAGGTGAGGTTTCCAAATTGTCTCCTGGAATTCAGTTTCAAGATGCAAGGATTCCTGAGGAATCAAGTTACGTACATTCTATGCTATATTTTTTGTGATTCCCTTATTCCATTGTGTTTATCCTGGTCCCATAATTTATCCGTGTCCCATGTTGGCCCCTAATATATCTTCCTCTTTTGCTGCTCCCTAGTGTTTCCTCTGAGTGTTTCCTCTGAGGGACGCGGGTCGCGCTGTGGGTTAAACCACAGAGCCTAGGACTTGCTGATCAGAAGGATGGCGGTTCAAATCGCCACAACGGGGTGAGTTCCCATTGCTCGGTCCCTGTTCCTGCCAACCTAGCAGTTTGAAAGCACGTCAAAATACAAGTAGATAAATAGGTACCACTCCGGCAGGAAGGTAAACGGTGTTTCCGTGCACTGCTCTGGTTCGCTAGAAGCAGCTTAGTCATGCTGACCACATGACCTGGAAGTTGTACGGTGGCTCCCTTGGCCAATAAAGCGAGATGAGTGCCACAACCCCAAAGTCGGCCACGACTGGACCTAATGGTCAGGGGTCCCTTTACCCTTTACCTTTAGTGTTTCTTCTAGTTTCTCCGTGACAGGGACAACCAATGTAGGACCCTCCAATTGTTGCTGGACTACAACTCCCCCCCCCCGTGACCATTGCCCATACCTGCTGGGGCTGAAGGGAGTTTGGAGTCTGGAAGGTGCCCCACTGGCTACTCCTTCTGCAGGGCAATCGGCCTCTGAAACAGGGAGCCTGTGGAAACGGCCGAGTGAAACGGAAACGTGGTGCCCACGAAAACTATATTTACCCTGAAATTACAGGGGGAAAGGCAAGCTGCTATCTAAATAAAGAATTTGCCCACGGCTCTCCCATAATCCAAGAGAGACGGCACTACCCAGTAGGTAAATAATATCCATTTTAAACCCATTTATAAGGCTGCAGTAAGAGATCATAATGAAAGCGCTGTCACAGCCGATTGTGTCCCACTTTCCATGGCGTGAGTTTGTTTTTAAACTATGCCGAAATGGAAAGTAAATCATGAAATGCCTCATTAAAGTAACATTATCTTGCCACAATAAATCCAGCAAAGCACAGGATTTAAAGAGTTTTGGCATGCTGTTGTGGCAGCGTGTGCTAAGACTAAGTCAAGTTAGCAGTAGATTAGAAGGGGCTTTTCATAGGAAAATGTTTGAAATGGATGTGTAATGTGCTTTAAGGCCTACCTTGCTTTGAAGGAGAAGGGTTCTACAGTTGGAAGGAACGAGCCAGATTGTTTCCTCGTCTCCAGCTGGAGCCAAAGTCCTATAGGGACGTTTTGTTTTGTTTTGCATTTTCCACCTATTTATTATACACAAGATGCAACCAAACAGCAACAGATTTCTCCTGAGGTGATTGACCACATCCACGCCCAAATCCACCTCTAAACTGAAATTCAGTAGCTGACCCAGCTCCAGCCTCTGCCCTCTTGTCAGCACTGCGTCTGTCGGTGTCCCTGTCAGCCCCTCCCCGTGTAAGGTGAGCAGGACACTCACCCTCCAAACCTTTGGGCTGGGGCTATCCAGTTTCAGGACGACTGTGACGCAAGGCGGCATGCACAATTTCAGGCGGCATGTGGTGATAGTCCCTCAAGTACTGGATGCCCTCACTGGTCAAATACCAATAGAAATGTCTCCATGCGAAAACTGTTCCTTCACATAACCACGAGATTTCAGCGACTACATTGCTTTCATGACTTGGAGGTTGGGCACATTTTTGTCTGCCAGTTCTGGGTGTTTAGGCATATGAACACCTTTCTTAGCTACCATCACTCCCTCCTTAAAAAGGAGTTTGTAGATGGCAATGTGGGTTTCTTTTAGGCATCAACATCGTGGCAGGGGCAAGAGGCTCGAACGCTGGAAAGCATAGGGATGTTCTGTTGAATCCTTGCTTGCGAGTTACAGAACCGTAATCACCAGGTCCATTTTCACAAAGCCGTGTCACAGGAAAGCAGGCACCTGAGATGTGCTCCTAAGAAACGTCCTTATACCAACACAAACATTTGGTCCATGTTGAGCAAAAGGGGAAGGTATCTGCTGACCCTATAACCACAAAATGCATCTTCCACTCCAGTGGCTCTTCTAAACTAGTCAGTGTCACTTACTCTGCCTGAACCCTTAACTTACTGACAACCTGGTAACTGTGGAGTGAAAGTGTGGCACAGAGCTCATCAAAGGCACCTGTGATTATTTATTACAAGATTATTTATTACAATATTACATGATTATTAAGTACACAAGCTTGGCTGGCTGCTTTAAAGCAGGCATAGGCAAACTCAGCCCTCCAGATGTTTTAGGACTACAACTCCCATCATCCCTGACCACTGGTCCTGTTAGCTAGGAATCATAGGAGTTGTAGTCCCAAAACATCTGGAGGGCCGAGTTTGCCTATGCCTGCTTTAAAGCCTTACAGTGTTTTCAGTGAGCGTGTGTTTTCTTAAACTGTTGCATCACTTTAAATACCAACAGTTTTTATTTAACTATTAATGTTCTAGTTTTGAGGAAAGAGTTAATTACCCATTTAAAACCACTTAGCCAAATCACCCTTGTATTCTCTCCACCTCAACTAAGCCCCAACAACTGAGGACTCTGTGGAAGTCTCTATACCTTCTCTTGTATAGAATTCTGACTCACAGCGAAGGCCCCGCATGACAGTTAAGCTAACTTTCACCTGACCAGAGAGAAACCTTCCCACATCAAATGCATTCTAATGTACATCACACAATAAAAATGTTGTAACGCATTACACAATACCCATCAAAACTTAACCCAAATAAACAATACTTATACACGGTCCATCTAGCTTGATATTGTCTATGCAGGGGTGGCCCAATCATGAGGCAAGGTGAGGCAACTGTTTCAGGTGGCACATCCACAGAGGCAGCAGATCCTGATGTAGATCTTCATTCCTCCCTTGGCCCTGCTGTAGATCTTCACTCACCCCTTCTTCCCTGGTGCCATTTTGTGGTTCACATCAGGTGCCAAAATGTCTTGGGCCAGCCTTGCCTCTACCACTAGGGTAGATGTCCTCAACAAGGTGTTCCCCAACATAAGAACCACAGTGACTTGGACACCCCACTTAGCACCCACCCTATAACTGGTGGTTCTGGATATTTGCGGGGCTGTCTGATGGGGAGATTTGGTTCATTTGGTCGTGTGCAGAGGTGTTTTGCCTATTGTTTGGTAGAAGGAGGTCTGAGCATTGCATGCTCCTTCTATGAAATGGGTGCTTTGTGATGTCTGTGACAGGTTTCCTTTCGATTTCTAAAGGGGCCTCTGAGCCCCAAAAGGTTGGTGGTCCCTAGTCTGCATTGACTGGCAGCCCCTCCTGATGGTTCCCACACAGGAGTCTTGCCCAGCCCTCCCTGGGGATTGCCAGGGTCCTTGTGCATGCAGAGCATGTTCTCGACTGCTAATCTCTGGCTCTTTTTTCACTTGCAAGTGGCTGGCAGTGAACAAGGATAGGAGGAGGGCAGAAAGCCAGACTGACAGATGGCTTTGCATGGGGAAGCCAGGATATCATCTTTGGCAAGGATTCCACCTTCAGGAATTCTTTCTGTGAAGGTTAGCCGTAATCCCTCTGAGAAACAGACTTTCAAAAACTTTCAAAAATAACACAATAGATTCCAATTCATTGCCTCTCGCCTATGTCATTCCGCCGATGTCCTTACAGGGGATGGAAGGGCAGTGGTGGCGGGGGCATGTTGTGATGACTAGAAAGATAAGAGACTTGAATTAAAGCAAGAGAGGAACAGAAAAAAAATATTCTGGGGCTTAAATAATGGTAAAACTAATGAAATCAATTCATCATGCAAACATTCAAGCAAGTTTTCCAAAATTTTACTAGCTGATCAAATGCACTGATCCAGTTAGAATCACAGTCTTAAATGGAAAGGCATGCAGGCTGTTTCAAGAAAGAAACCTTTATAAGTTTTGACTAGGAACCATGAAGCAGAGTAACTTAGTTTTCCAGGCAAGTAAATAGCAGGAGATGTTTTGCTCTTTTGCAAGTTGGCATCCCTGAGCAACTAACTGCCAATGGCTGGGCAGGGCCAAACGTTGATGCCTTCCCAGAGGAATCACACAGAACTATAGCTCTGTCAGGGGGCTAGGGGGTCTCCTACAAACTCTTAGGTCCTTTAACAAACTACAGCTCCCAGAATTCTTTGGGCGAAGCCATGACCTTCAAAGTGGTATAACAGAGCTTCTAAAAGTGTAGCGTGGATGTGGTTCTGAACACGGACAAGGGAGGTTGGCAAAGATGAGTGAGGGGCCTGGAAGGGTTGGAAGACTTGGGTATGTTTAGCCTGGGTAAGAGCTGCAGGCCAGAAAAGGCAGCTATATAAAGATGTATTGTTAAACCGTCCTGCATTCCCTCTACTTCCAGTTGCCTGCCTGGAATTGTCTGGCTCCTAATAAGGGCAGTAGCGGTTGTGGATAAGAAGATGAGCACCCTTTATATTTCCAGCAGATCACTACCCAGAGGAAGCAAATATAACTTTAAATCCTCCAGGGCAGTGGGAGACAAGGCAGCTCTCTTCCAGTCTGTGAGAGTGTAGGCTGTGTGGCCACATGTGAACTATACATTTAAAGCTCATTGTTTTCCCCGGATAAACCTGGGACCTGTGGTTTGTTAAGGGTGGTGGGGAATGTAGATCAGTGCTGTGTAAACTGTAGTTCCTATGGTTCTTTGTGGGGAGCCGTATGTCTTAAATGTATGGTGAAGGTGTGACAGGATGCTCAAGCCTCAGTCTCCTCTCACCATGGCTGGAGAATTGCACTGAGACATTTGGAGAAGTGCAGATTTCAAAAGAAGGCTGTGTTGTGTCCAGAAAGGAGGATTAAGTCAATTTGCCCTGAAATGTGAATGGAACCATATTGCTCTCCCAACCCTATCGCCAGCTTTCTCATAATGACGCAGGTGGGGTGGTTCTCAATCTAGAGGAAGCTATTGATATCTCTCTCTCTCTCTCTCTCTCTCTCTCTATATATATATATATATATATATATATATCCCCACTGAATTTCATAGGAGGGAGATTATCGGCTCCAGGCCCAGGGCTGATGTAAAGCTGCATTGTCAACAGAGGTGTGGTTGTGTAGCGCAGGTGTGCTCCTCCCCTCTGCTACACCTTTCCAGACTCACCTTTTTGGACAGTCCACTGGTGTATCTTCACCAGCGGATCTGATGTTTTCTTAGTGTCCCCTGGACATTTCCACCAGCAGATCTGTCACGCCAGTGGCGTATTGATCATACCTCCGGTGTTGCAGAGCTTCCACAAAAGAGGAAGGGCCATAAGCTCAGTGGCAGAACATAGAATTGTGGAGTTGGAAGGGACCTTTGGGGGCATCTAGTCCAACCCCTTGCAATGCCGGAATCTCAGCTAAAGCATCCTTGATAGATGGCTATCTTCTTTGCATGCTGAAGACCCCATTAGAGGCTTGGGGTGAAATTTGTCTGAAACAGTCCGTGGAGACAAATCCTGTGCTGGATGGACCCAGGTTAGGATTCAGTATAAAGCAGGCTTCCTATGTTCCTATATATAGGCTTCCATCCAATATGGGATTGCACCCTCAATTAGCCTGATTATTTTCGCTATTTTTGAAAAGAGAGCCAGATATAATCTCAGGAAAATGATTCAATTTTTGAAAACCATTTTTAATTCTATGTAATTACAAAGAGATTAATTGCAACTGCCGAGACCTTTCCTAATTAGCAAGTCTCCCTCTTTCTTCCTCTTTCCCTCCCAAAGTCATTGTTGAACAATGGGGGGGGGGGAGAGAGAGAAAGCCATGATCATCTGCTTACAGAGATCCGAACACATTTGCAAGCAACTTCTGTACATCCACATTGTGTGAGACTTCAACCCTTCATTTGTCTGTTATATTTTCCACTGGGTATTTCCTGCTCCTTAATTAATGGCTGAGGTTGACTATGCCTTCCGCGTCTCTTAATGGTTGATTCAGCAAGACTGGGACCAACTCAAACTGCTTCCAACACCATCATCAAAAAGATGACCAGTAGTCCCCTTAGCAAACCTCTGGCTGCTGCTTTGGGACAATCAAGAAGGAAAGACTTCCTTACTGTGGAGATGGGGAACCTGTGACTCTCCAAATACTGTTGAACTCCAATTTCCATCAGCCCTAGCCAGCATGGACTGTGGTCACAGGTGGTCGGAGTTGTCGTCCAATAACATGGAGGGCCATAGGTTCCCCATCTCTGGTGTGCTATTGGGAGGTACAGATGGAGTCAAGGAAGTACCTTGATTAGCACTGGCAAAGCAGGACCTGTCATCCACAGTGCTGACCGAGTATCCTGACTCCACTGCCACCTACTGGTTAGATCAGAAATTCCTCTCTTCCATCAATTGCTGTGCAGCCACATCCATTTAATTGCTCACCACTGCAAGCAAATTTGGCCCCTACTGCAACATTGCCTT